TTACCACGAAGATTTTGAAGGGGGTTAAGTGTTAATATTTTACGTAACTGCTATCGGAAGTAGATTAATTATTATACTTTTAGTGTATCCTGAGTGTAATAAACATTTTTTTAAAAAACGCATCAAAATCGGTCGGAGAACAAGTCTAGTTGTGTTTAGAGGTTCCCACACCCATCATCGGAAAAATCGAGCAAAAGTAACCCTTTCGATACCATTAACGAAACAAGTGACATGTTAGTGACATCAGTAGAATTGGCAGAATTAATAATCAGTAGAATTAACACCCGTGCGAAACAGGGGCGGCGACGATTGAATTAATTTTTAATTATGTGATTTTGTACTATCACTTTATAAAACTTATTTTACCTTTTCACTTAGGAAACATTTTTATTCTAAGTATATTACTTGGTCTAACTACGCAAACAAGCCTACGTGTCGAGTTAAAAGTTCAGATTTCTATGTACGACTATTTTAAAGTCATACTTAGCATATAAACGACTCTTGCGCTCAATTTTTCTAAAGAACTCTCCTCCAGGCGTGCGAACCATGACTCAACGCAGTAAATCTTTGAAGATTTCTTATCATTTATTAAAAATATACTCTGATGAAAAAACTAAATAGAACTCGAACACACATAACATAAAATAAACTTTGCCTTGATAGATATTACTGTTTCTTAAATTACAAACGGTTTGTAATCGCATCTATCTCTGCAGATGGAAAGATAAACCCGCCGCTGTGTAGGCATTGTAATACCTAAACATTATGATAGATCAAATAATACATTGCTGAAATTACTACATTGCAAACATCAACCGTCCGACAATAAATTGAAAAGAACTTTCATTTTTCGATCAAAATTTCGAATCAATAACAATTCTTTTATCCAAAATCGAGGTCTTCTTCAAGATGCACGTACAAAATTGGAAGTAATAAAAACTTATAAAACGATGGCGTCTTTTAACGCGTAGTTATCATTTAATCGTTTTTTGCAAATAAAAACAAATGTTTATGTACAGGCGCCGTTTTTAATCTCACTTCCTGCGGTTTCCCAAAGGAGGATTTAAGGCCAGCGTTGAAGTTGGCACAGCAGTGAAAGTTAATGTTGATACGCATTGGCTCGCTCATTATCTGCGCGATGAAAATCTTAAATTACACTGCACATGCCATGTTTTGATCTATTTTTGTTTGTGTAAGATTCAATTACTCGACTCCTAATGACGTACACCGCCGTAGGCCTCGGATAAGAAAATAACATCTTGTCTCTGCTGCCGTATAATGAGTGCGCTCCACGGCTAAAGAAAACAATTATCTGCATGATGAGAACTTGTATCTATTTAGTATTTTATTACTTTATTAATTTAATCCCATATTACATGTCAAAAGTTAAATACATTGCAAATTGAAGCAAAAGCAACACAAAGCTCATGTTTATAGTCCGCGAGACCTGACGACTGAAGTTTATAGAGACGATGAATTATTCATGCAAAACAGAACAGCAGATTAAATAATAATTAAGTTACAACCAATTGATAAATGCGCACAAATTAACCATACTTAATTATAGATAGGCTGTGTAGGAAGGTAGTTCGAGCGAAACGGATTCAATAATAGAAACGAAGAGGGAAGAAATCAGAACATTTAAACTTTTTATTGTGAATAAAATCTCACACGCTCTCAGTATTACAACTTTAGTCGAGTCAAATTCATCATATTCTTTAATTATAGATACTTCAAAACCAACATTAATTAAACATAACATTTATTAAAATGTCAACATTACAACAAAAATTCCTTTACATACTGAAGATGCACATAATAATAATATAGTTCAAAATTACAACAGTCATACAGAATGGTTCAATCAAACACGGTATAGCAATGAATGGTGTCATGGGAGCAATTTTCCGAATGGTTTTAATGCACTTAATGTGGGTTATCGTGCTAATGTGGAGCACTTAATCTATTACGCCACGATCTCACATTAGAACGTATGTCAGGAAAGCCATGATGATCGTGGTGGCTCGATGGGGCTTCTTATTCAGTTTTTACTCATGGTGGATAGTTGTTCCAAGTAGCTAGGCAATGGGTGCACCAACGAAATGGATTCTGGGTTTGTTTTTTTTTTTCAGTTATCTACTTGATGTAAACATTTATTGTACACTAGCGACTCACCCTGGCTTCGCTCGGGTGCAATGTACACGTATACGTATACATATAAACCTTCCTTAACTATCACTATATCTATTAAAAAATAACATCAAAATCTGTTGTGTAGTTTTAAAGATCTAAGCATACATAGGGACAGACAGACAGCGGATAGCTACTTTGTTTTATACTTTGTAGTGATGATCATCCACTAGCCATTGGATACATTACCTACGCCCAACTTATAATCAACCTCAAGAAAATTCAGCTCAACCGAATGCAATTTTGTTTCTTTTCAATCAATGGAATGCTCGAATGTACCATTCAATTGGACAATATTTGTGTATGTATAATAGTTGCCCGCATTTAAAAATATCGGTAACCTTCATCGAGTTATTTTAGCACCTTTTATTTGTAGTTGTACAGATAAAGCGATGTTTTTGCCGACGATCAACTCGTCAATAGATCTGGGTCGTTCGTTCAAACTTCCACAATACATAGCACTTTTACTTCGCAAAGAGATCTGTATTCTATTTTATTTTATGATACAAACATTATAAAACATACTCGTACTACTATGTGATCGAATATGAAATCCAAAAATAGTTGATGTAAATATTTATTTGCAAATTAACTTTTTAAAACGATACACTCAACGTTGGCATATATTTTACGCATAGATTTTTTACAGGTGTTCAAACTAATCATGGTTAAAGCTGTATTCATTTTCGGTATTAAATGACAATATAGCTCACATACTAACGTAGCATAACGTCGACAAGAAAACCAACATTTAAACATTTCACGTTGAACTGCAAATATGGTCTTATTGTTAATGTCATGTAATATATCATACATAATGATATAAGATGACAAGGTGCACCACGGTCGTCGCAGGCGCCGAGGGAAGGCGCTATGCGCTTGCGCAGCCTAATCGTCGCGTAACGGTGGCGAACTGTAAAGCTCGCCACGGACCGCGGGCCGCGTGCTAAATTTGCCGAAACACCGCGATCTCTAGCGGGAAAATTTTAAATCACTCTAAATTCGTGTCGATGCCCGCCCATAGACTACGACAATATACGGAGTACTACACCGTGACACTTGTCACACACGTAATTTCGAGGGTCTATACTCTAATAAACGCTACTGATGACGCGATTGGCCTTTTCCGCCTACTGGGCCCGGTACCGTTGTTCTTACTTCAAAGTACATACTCCTAGCGAAAAGAAGACTACGGCACTGTGACAAGCGTTGCTACTTAAGAACACGAGGCCATTACTAAAACCAATATGTTGATGGTGAACTCACTGAAATCTTATACGTCGCATATAATTTCACGTGCTAACAGCGAACGGCCTCATAACCTTAATCATAAACGGCTTATATAGCATTTTAAATTACTTAAAGAAGCTTTTTAAGGAAATTGAAAAAAACAATGTATGTAAATTGTCAATGAACTTAATATCAAGCTCTCTGTACTGATTATAAGATTACAAACTTAATTAGGTTTTAGATTAGATTGAATTTAGTATGAACAATCTCTAATCATGTAATTAGGTCTCAACGGGCTTATTTGCGAAGCTAATGACTATTTGTCTAAGCCTCATCGGAAATATCAATCTAGATTTTTAATGCTACAGTAGCCTGGATAATTTAATAAGCTACCAAGGTATCTTAGTAAATACACCTCCATCCTGCTGAAGTGTAGAAACTATACACTATGCAAATGTCCGGACAATTCAGAAAAACGAAAAAAAAACTATAAAAGATAACTATGTAATATTGTGACGACGCCGATATCACCAGCGACAGTTGCGAATTGCAACCTATTTCAATTTTATTATCATTTAACTTTCTTTTGAAATTAATCAAAAAATCCATTATTCGAATAGCAATTGCTTTCTATGCAGCCAGTACGTACCTACCTAGAACGCTAAACGTTGTGACTACCACAGAAGAATCTTAGTCACGTGTTAGGTCAAAGACCAAAGCATGAGGTGTGACCAATAGCTATTGTTTTACTGCATTTGGTGTTTTCTATTTATACACCGTGCGCTTCATTTGGAGAAATTATCAATGCAAACGTTTGGTGTTTGTACCAGGCGTGTCTATTTATAGCTACAAACTAAACAACATGTAGAAGGAACTAAGATATTTTTCTTTGTTATAGCTTTGAGCATGCAAAACGGATCATAAAGGCAACGCCACAGCCAATTAGTGAAATATTTATAGACATCATCGACAATGTACCTACATTCTTTAATCACGAGCTATGACGAATGAGCACTACTGCAACGTGAAGCAATTAACATAACAATATTCCTTACATCATGCAATCAAATTCCGCAGAGTTCAACATCCTGATCCTGCCATCAGCAAGAATATTCGATATTAATTACAACAAGTTCGCGTGTCACTAACGACGCATTCTGTTACCGCAACAATGAAGAATTGTTACTTCAATCCAATCATGTCACGCCATCGAACTATGAGATTTATCCCATTACGGTACTGGCTTGATAGATTTTCTACTCTTCACACCATTTTGTACTTGATAGAATACGTTAACATGTTCATAAAAACACAGTAAACTTAACGGGTTCATTAAATTTTTAATAACATTTTCAATGTTGTTCCAAAGAAAATTCTAAGTCGCAGTAGAACGACGTACAAAGTTTTACCAACTTTCCATTAACTGTCAGCCTCGCTTCAAACTCTTCGTGTACGCCCAACAATCAACACTTTAAAATAATAAACTATTTATCAGCTTCACACTCTACTTAAGGCCGCCCAGTTTTATTCGAACCAAAGTATCCGTGACTCTTTCCACAGACAAAGGGTCATTAGCGAAAATGTCGGAGTCAACAATAGAACAAGCGAAACGGGAAATTGATGAATCTTTGATTCTGAGTGCATTCTGCATGCGTCGTATCGGGCTCTCGTTCCAGGATCCCAAAAGTGGAGCGGCTTATTTACGTCAGAAGCTGATGTTCATTGCATCTGTCTGCGGCATTTGCTACCACGTATTCAGTGAAATCGTCTTCATCGGTCTCACGTTGTCGAATTCGCCACGAGTCGAGGATGTCGTTCCACTTTTCCATACTTTTGGCTACGGTGCTTTAAGTAAGTACCTATGTACAAGTACACATAAAATTGAGCCACTCGTCTGCCTATCTGTCTGAGTTCGAGCTACTTAACAGCAATAACAGGATACCGTTTATGTACCTACGCTATTTTATGAAACATAACTTTAATGAAGTATAAAATTATAAATTAATTATAGAATAATTGTAATGAAGCTTGAAATTAATTTATGTTTTTAATTAGGCTGCAAAGTTACTTCTTACATCATAATAAGTTGTACCTATATTTTTAAATTAACAATATAATAATTTCTCAGGTATCGCAAAAGTATTTGTGTTGTGGTACAAAAAAGATGTATTCCGTCAGCTACTGAATGAGCTAGCTGGCATATGGCCGATGCCTCCGCTGGAAGAGGAAGCCTTAATCATTAAGAACAAGAGTCTGGCCGCTCTCCGCATAACACATCGATGTAAGACATTAAAACATGACATTCTTCGAGGTGCGAACACACGATCCGGTATGCCGGCTGTGTGAAACAAATGCAAGGTTGTTTAGAGTTTAAGCGTTCATTTAAAAACTGCATGCAAAAGATGAAGGCCAGGGAGACTTTCTCGAAATGAGTCACTTCCGAGACTTATCAAAACAGGTTTAATAACAGATATTGTAAAAAGCTCTAAAAGCTTGTGATTGTGGATTCAATTGAAATGGAACCGGGCTAAATTGTTATTACTTTAACATTTAATGCAGTTATGATATTCCTTTCTGCGCTTTCTTCTCAGGGTATTTCTTCATGAATGTATCGGGTGTGTGGTTCTACAACTTGACTCCGATCGTCGTTTATCTGTTTGGCCTAATTCAAGGCAAGAGCGATAAGATTGGATACGTCTGGCAGTCCTGGTACCCGTTTGATAAACACCAAACGGTTGCGCATGTCGCGGTTTATCTCTTTGAAATATTCGCAGGTAAGATTAGCTTCTGAATACATAAATGATCAATCTATTTTTAGTCTCATCTCAGTATTGAATAACCTACTTCCGCGAGTGATAACTGAGTGCAAATACCGCTATCACAGTTAGTTGACTGTCTTCACAAGTTAATTGGTAACTAGTATACATATCTTTATGGAAAATCGCATTGCAAGATATACTATTCCATACATCATAACACAATTATCTTCTAAAAATAAAATGATAAAAAATCACATCTGGAACACAACAATAAGCATCTTCATTCCTAGTGCAGTCATTGCAAGCTGTTATTTTTATTCCCAATCAAAACATTCCATGGCATGTGCTTTAAAAAGATCGCTTCTTTCAAAAAGGTGACCTCTACCACTATAATAGCTTTTAATAACTTAATCGTGTCTATTACTAAGCCATCTCGTTCGTAGAGCAAAAAAGAGCGCCCAAATTTAATGCCCGTACATTTCTTCGGACAAAATGCTTCTTTTATTGACATAGAGAGAGTGAAAGTCCTGATGATATAGAATCAACTCGAAGCCTATTATCAAATTGAGAGCTACATCTCTTTGGCAAAGTAGCAATTAATCCAGTTTAGAACATTTGATTGTACTCTCTGGGCTCCTAAAACGAAGGTGTAAACGCGATCGCATGCTGAACTAAAAACAAATATCGTTTAGCTGACAGCGATAAAAGGTGGTTTTGTATTCCGTGTGTTAATACACTTGAGTCATGATATGCTCTACTTAGTTCGAGCCTTAGAATGGGAATAATTTGGCACAAATATTATGTTAGGCGCCATTTTGGGATTGAGGTTAAGTACACAACATTGCTTTTTGTTATTGTTAAAGATGGTTGTCAAATTCATTATTTGTGTAAATATTATATAATGAATTAATTTGCACTTGCCGTTGGTATACTTCACTGCACAAATGGCGCTTCGGCACGAATGGGCCGACTCGACCGAAGTGATACTACGGCCTCACAGAAAACCGACGTGAAACAACGCTTGCGTTGTGTTTCGTCGTATGAGTGAGGATACCGAAGGCCCAATAACCCTAATCCCTGAATCCTCAACAATCCTAATTCCTAATCCCCAAAAGGCCGGTAACGCACTTGGAAAGTCTCTGGTGTTCCAGGTGTCAATGGGCCGATTGCTTACCATCAGATGATCCGTCTGCTCGGCCTGCTTTATCAGCTTATTAAAAATAGGTTTTACTTTGCCAACAACAAAACATCGGAAATTCTAAATTTAAAGCTACCCACATGATCATTCTAAAATATTATATACCGATTTTGAATACGGGGACATTAAGACATTTTATTTCCTTTTTATTCGATGTGATTTACGATCTACTTTTTAAAGTTTGTGGCAAAACGGTAGTAATGAATGTGGATAATAATGACAAACATATTTAGAAAAATTTCTAGGTTAGTGTGTAATAGTAGTGAAGTTGACTTGCAATAAAATAACAAGGCTTATTTTGTAGGTCAGACTTGCGTATGGATTATGGTCAGTACAGACCTCTTATTCTCAGCTATGGCCAGCCATATAAGTATACTGTTACGGCTCCTGAAGCAACGACTGGAAGCTGTGGGTACAATTGATAATGAGCACTATGACGAGATACTCGGGAACATTAAATTACACCAGAGGCTTATAACGTAAGTAATTCTACCTATTTATTTTACATGTGTGGTGGACTACTTAAGCACTAATTATTAAATACCTGTATGTGGGCGTGTATTCAGAACTGATTTAAGAAAATGATGTGTTTAGTTAGACAGATCCTTGTAACTATGATATATTTGATATGTTCCTTAGTAACTTAAATTCATTCATAAAAAAATATTTGGTAAAGAAAATAGTTAGGTATGTAGGTAGAAAGGGGGTCTTTCTACAGTATGTTAAAAAGATCAAGAAAATGAGTTATGAGCTACTTTTTTTTCAAACTGTGTTAAACACTTGAAAATTGTTAACAACAAAATTCTAATACTTTTTTGAGGACTTTTTGGCATAGCAACATGGTTATACTTGCGTAAGTTTGAAGACTTATTCCATTTTTGAACGTGATTGATATAAAAAGAGAATATTTCAAAAAGTCTTCAAAGACGGTATTGTGCATTTTTTTTTCAAATTCCAGATACTGCAACGATTTAGAAAACGCTTTCTCCTTGTCGAACTTCGTGAACATTATGTTGAGCTCCGTCAATATCTGCTGTGTAGTGTTCGTTATTGTGGTAAGTGTTGCACGCATTTATTTGAATCAGATTTTACCAGGAAATATTATACGAACCGTGCTGAATTATTTGCACGTTTTCCAAAGAATACACCGTACGGAAATGAACAGAGGGGCCGATCAACAATCACTGTTGCGGCAGAAAAGTAATACATATAGGTCTGTAGGTACTTCATTGTTTTAACTTTGTGTCAAGCTTGACTACCGATCGAGGTTTGGAACTCGATTCTCGGTTGTCGATTTGTATGACATAATTTGAGTATCAAGAAGACCATGAATAGAAACATTGAGTATTTAATGTAGTCATGTTAAATATTACTATATTAATGTAATTCCAGCTCCTTGAACCGTTCATGGCGATCAGTAACAAACTGTTTTTGGGTTCAGCTCTAATTCAAATCGGAATGCTGTGTTGGTACGCGGACGACATTTTCCATGCGGTTAGTTGTCATTTTATTTTATTTATGAAACAAAATTTCGGACTGTCTTCGCTCCATTTATTTTTTAACAATATAATGACCGAAATAGATGCTTTGAAATGTGTATTTTGAAGTAAAAATTCCATACAATAACTTTACAGCTTTAAACTATCTTAAAGTAGAGGAGATGAGAACGCAAGATAGTGTCTTTCACCAGTCCACAACTATATTTTACGAGTATGAGATTATCTTTGAATCCGTTGAATCCTGCGACGTTTACGTCGGTAATTGGAGATTAGAAGAATCACGTTTGACATTGTTATTTATGTTAATCCACGTCAAATACAAAATGTTTTCTTTAAAAATTGCTAGTTAAATACAGACCAACAGGTGATAATTTTTAAAAAGTGTAGACATCATAACTAGTTAAGTCTCTATTAAATACTATCAACCCGCGGGTCCACCTCAGCTTCGCCTAGGTGCCATTTTCCTCGGCGATGGCGACCTCTCGCATCCGGCTCTGGTTCAGACCATGGTACGGAGCGAGGGGGACTGGGATGCCGTCTCCTCCTTCTGCGAAGCAGTCATGCTAGCTAAGGAGAAGGCAAAGCGCATGAGGGAATGAACCACCTCACGCCCCAACCGTCGCGAGAGACACTCCGGGATCGATCTCCGGCCACCGTAAGCACGGGCCTGCGGACGGCGAGCATGGGTGACTCGCCGCTCGACCAGAACCAGGCCCGAGCGTACGGCGCGTCGCGATCCGCGCGCGCCTCAAGGAGCCATCAGACCACCACAGATGGGGCCCAACAGGGCTGATACGGAGCCGCGGAAGACTTAACGGGTTGCCGGGGCTCCGGCTCGAAGTGCAGGAGTAGGAACGGGGTGGTTTTTAGTCAGTAAGAGTCTGACCCTCCCTCTCGCCTCAGCTGGGCGGGAGAAGTCATTGGAGGATTTTCAACCCTCAAAAAAAAGCTGCTATTTTCCTATGTTTCCGGTATATAGCATAGTTGATTGCTAAAGCTAGTTAGTTGGCTGCATATGCGACTCTCATTTTTTACTTTGCTAAATTTGTTGTTTGGGCAGCATAATTTTTTATCTTTGTTAATTACCTTATTTGGTGATGTCCCAGTGTCCTAGAGAATAAAGCGACCGTTCTTCAAGCGTGTGGGTATAGGTTTGAAACCTCGCAAGCACTAAAGGGACTCTTTCCATGTCATTGAAAATCGCCAATACCCCTTGATCAAGCGCGATGATTATTGCTAAAACTATCTTCATGGAAAAGATAGTTTCATCGAGAGAAAAGAGGACCTTTGCTCAGCCGTGAAAGCTTTTAGGTTAATAATATTGTACCTATGTAATCTATGTAGCTTTTTATATAGGTAGCAGAGGTTATCCTGCCATGACAGAAGCTTTACCCCAATGCGATATGCAATGTAACTCCTATGGTTTTGACACAACAAGAGCGTCTACTCGTTTGCCAAATACTCCACTGCTTTTCTTTCACCCCCAACAACAAAAATGAAATAAGTATCTCTATGTTCTTATATCTATAGAACGCTGATGTAGCGGCGGCTGCGTACAATAGCGGATGGTACCGTACAAATCCTCGCTGTCGTCGCGCCCTGCTTTTCCTTATACAGAGGTCAGTTGAACAAAAACATAATTCGATGTAAAATTAACTTTTGTTACTTGTTTAAGCACATCCATATTAAGCAGGTTGTCTCTTTATCTGTGTCTTTTTGAAATGTTTGTCTCGACGCGCTGTCTGTCTGGTAGTGAAGAACAATTGATGTAATTTGTCCCTGGTTTGATTAAGAGATTGTCTGGTTTAGTAGCCCCGATTTATAGGTACGACTATGGGTTAGGGTTATCACACTTCACAGCTACCCCTGTTTAGTTTATTGTTGGTAATTTTCACGAATACGAATCAAATATATTTTTTCGTGAATTGCGCCAAATCTACAATAACAGAAAGAAAAACTGATTGAACTTTCTTATATCACTGAGCTTAGTTAACACGAGAGACATAGCAAAATATGCGAACTTTAATAAATTTCGAGCTAATGTAAGAAAGATTTAAGTTCATTATCCTTTGATTACACATATTTTACTGAATAATATTGTTTCAGGGCTCAGAAACCGATTGCGTTCACAGCAATGGGCTTCACAAATATCACCCTCGTTACGTATTCAGCGGTAAGTATTGTTCTCTATATTTAAGTCGAACATTTACCTTGGAATGCAAACTCTTTGAATAAATGAAACGAATTTAAACTCACGACTTTGCTCCTTAAACTAGTTCGTGCTTCTGCGTATATTTTACGAGATTCTTTAGTCATAAAATAATTAATGATCCTTTAACTTCATCAAAATACAACAACATACAATTTTTACATAATTATGATATTCCTATTTTCTAGAAATTTGAAAGTTTTGTCTACTCTTATTTGCTTGCCCCATAGTCGATTGTTATTTATGATTTTTAATTTCAGATCCTCACGAGGTCGTACTCGTACTTCGCATTGCTATATACTATGTACAACGAAAATTAAAACCTACAGCATTTGAAATACGTACATAATTTAGATAAAGCTGTAGATATAGATAGGAGCAGTATCAATAGATGTCGTTTCCCGTATTATTGCACAGAGTTTATCAGCAGCGATATAACTAACCTTCTTGCAAATAAACATAGACAACATATGTTTTCGTACTGCACCAAAGAGATGTGAACAGAGTCTTAAGCGTTTTTCTTACCCTTAAACATATGTACTCTTTGGTTTTTCTGACAGAAGAATTTGTCTAATCTAATTTGAAAAGATATAGAGAGATTGTTTTGTGTGTAAAGAACTTTAATTGATGTTGATTGCCGAATAAGTGTGGGCTTTTTGCAATTGAATACCTATCATTAAAGATACAGTAACAAAAAAGTGACGAGAACACGATAAAGAAGTTTTACGTACCGCGCATAGCCCGTGAAAATGGCTTTCGTGGTATGGGTCCAGTAGGATGTTTCCTATCGACATATTACAGGAATCACCGAAAACAGACTCTATAGAGAACCAAACACTACCAAGCGTACCGAGAGACGAAGAAAAAGCCAGCAAAAATCAAACGTCACAAATCATGGATAAATCTGACCACGGAGGCTACTCTAAAGATAAAGATCGTAATGCACCGAAATCGCTTCAACAACACTCAAGTAGACACCACTATCAAAGAAAAGCGTACTCCGTTCCTAAATTCAGTCATCATAAAATCGGCACTACCAGGGCTATGAGTTACAATGTGATGGATCAGAAAACTAGTTCACTTCAACTCCGAAGATCAATAAATCCATTAGAGTCGATGAATAGTGAATTTTCTGCCTATAAAGCTAAGATAACTAACGCTTCTTCATCCAAGATGTATGAAAAACTAACCTCGGTAATAAAAGTAGTAAATAGTAAATATTTTTCTTTTTTTATAGTATAAGCCGGTAAACGAACAGATAGGTCACGTGATGGTAAGCAATCGGCGCAGCCTATGGACACCCAAAACACTAGAGGTGTTACAAGTGCATTACCAGCCGTTTGAGAATTAAGTATTTGAGGATTGTTGGAGATTCGGGAATTAGGCAGATTGGGCAGGGGGTAATTGGGCCTCCGGTAACCTCACTCGCATGACGGTTTCTGTGAGTCCATGGTACCTATCACTCCGGTTGAGTCGGTCCATTCGTGCCGAAGCAAGGATCTCTCTCACTTAAAGAAGAGTAGGAATAGAATAGAAAAAAAATAGTAAATGTAAGTTTTGTCATTTATAGCCGAAGACCAGCAGAAGAGAGTTGAATATGTGTTCAGAAGAATTCATAATTCTACCAAAACTGCAACCGAATGAAGCAGAGTTTCTTAGACTCGTATCAGAGGACAATGTCGATGGTGCCAAAGAAATTTTAAATAGCGATCCGTGCCTGAATGTGAACTGTACAAACTATCAGGTTATAACCCTAATTATGTACTTTAATACTTTAGTACTTTAATACTTTACTTTAGGTTATGAGTCAATTATCAATATACACAAAACTGTTTTACTTTGTAGGGTATGTCAGCGCTCCAAATGGCTGTACAAAACAGATCTCCGGGAATGGTTAAGTTTCTCTTGGGACTTCCGAATGTGGAAATAAGTGACAGTGTGTTACAAGCCATCCGATCCAACAATATTAAGATATTGGGTAAAATGTTGTTGTTCTTGCTTTCACTTGCCTTATAAAGGAATTGGGATTTTAAAAGTAGGTGAATGTCGGCAGTTTGTTTGTTGGAGGCTCAGCAGAGGATTTCGCCAGGATTAGAGTGTGCGGGGGCGACGCATTCGGCAGACTTCCCCGCGCACGTGACGCCGCTCATCCTCGCTGCTCAGCTGGGCCATTACGAGATTGTCTCACTGCTCATCGAAAGAGGACATGCAATCAATCGTCCCCATAAACTTAACTGTTGTTGCAGTTGTTGTAGGTGAGTCTAGAGTGACTATGGTACAACTGTTGCTAAACTTAATGTCATTAATATTCATTTCACATTATTTTTCGACCATAATTTTAGTATCGATGGATTTGTGATCATGATGCAAAATTATCGTGTTTATCAAGATTCAAGTAGCCATAAAATTTAATATTTAAATGCCAATAAAATAATCAACAAATTTAAAATCATTTTCAAAGAGTTTACTGTTAGTTATGAGGCAATACAATATCTTTATTTGTGTAAATAAACATATACAAAAAATATAGACATTTATGAAAATAGAAGTGACTCATTTAACAACAATGAAAATAAAATTGATTTTAAATAGTGTTAAGTTATCAAGGCGACATTGGGTTGCCCACGCTCAACCGGCTTATATTATATTTCCTAATGTTATTTTACTGTTCTGGCAATACCACCGTTATTTGAACAAAAGTTTTCATTTCTAGAGTTTCGAACTCAAATTGTACTAAAAGAAAACTATACATACCATATCTCTGATTCTTAACCCGTCGAGCGTCCGCGTTCCTTATGATCCAACGGGTGCACACGTGACATTTGGAGAAAGTAAGAAAGAAATAAAGGAAATGTATTTATTTGGCCATTGGCACACGAAAACAAGGATCATTACAATAGAAATAAAAAATACAGTCAAAATAAAAATAAAACATTAATAATAGATTTTATAAAAGAGAAAGCAGCATTGAGCATTTTTTCTTATGATCCACCGGGTGCTCATAAAGACGCTCGAGGGTTTAAAAACAAAAACATTAGGTACGCTTTTTATTCCCTGGAGAGTAAGCTAAAACCAAAAACCATTTATTTATCGGCTACAGTTATCCTTGATAATAAATAAGGAAACCTAAAAGCTTTTGTTCAGCAATCGCGCTTATAAACATACCACTGAACTGATTGACCTGTGCCTGTTTAAAACCTGTGAGATTGTCATTTTTCTAGAACTTGCTGCTTGAATGACGATCCACTGTACGAGAGTAGTGTTCGTCTGTCTCTGTACCGAGCGATTGCGTCTCCCGCATACATGGTGCACATGTGCGCCGACCCTATACTGGCCTCGTTTAGACTCGCTGCAGAATTGGCAGACAATGCTGCAGCTCACAGGCAACTCGCTGCAGCCTACCTGCAAGTCGCTGATGACGTCAGCACCTTCGCTGTTGACCTCATAGGTATGTATGAATTGTCACTAGAAAATATTTCTAAGAAATTTTATGTTTTGAATGTTAATGTGGAAGGATTGTTAGACCGTAGCATCTTATAGTTAAAAGTAAGACTTTGATGACGTCACGTCTATTCATCCAGCCCCTGCTCTGTCAAGTGAATACCATTATGCACCAGTTCTTATTAGTCCTATTGTATTAGGAGCTGCGATTATACCAACTACATTAAGTCCACTTCCAGACTCCATTTACACCTCACATCCTTAATAGGATTTCGATATCGGAACAGTTAATAATAGATAGTATACTCCAGTCCAAGTTGAAACTTACCATCTAGGCACGTCGAGAAAATATTTGAATAATTTATTATTCCTAAGTATCTACGCCTTTACATAGGTAGGATGAAGTTGGCACGCCATACACCGGATAGAAACTCAAATTGGACGGTTAGACCTTTTCCAAATTCTTATTAAATTAGCACTACAGATAATTACAAACTCATTGCTGTATGATTAATAGATTAACAAACGTATACGAATACTTCCAAACTTTCACATGTGTATAACACTAAAAGCCAATGATTAAAGCTAAGCTCTGTTCATGTCTGTTCCTAATAGGATGTTGTCGTACATCAGAAGAAGTGGAATTTGTGTTAAAGCAAACGACAGGTTGTCTCGGACGTCGCCATTTTGTGTTGCCGAGGCTGCTTATGGCTGTCGACTATAAGCAGAAGGAATTTGTCGCACATCCCAATACACAACAGGTATAGAAATGATGAAAATAATAGAAATGAAAGTAAACTTTATTACCCGTCGTTAGTCCCACATTCGGAAACCGAAAAATTACACCAGTTGTCCCACATTCAGAAATCTAAAAATGTGGTCCTTTGAATTTGCAAGGTTTTACTAACGGGATACTCAAAAATCTGTAAATGTACAAGTTCATTAAATACGATGATAATTTCGTAGGTGCTGGAGTCATACTGGCTCGGCGACTGGCATTCATGGAGAAGCAAACCTCTGTTGGTAAAGGCGGTACTCGTTTTAGGCCGAATATTCATTACACCATTTATTCTTCTTGTGTGCATGGTGAGTACATTATTTTCGTTTTTATTCACGGTCACTCTCCCTGAGTGTGTGTCTAATTAGAATGTTTGCAGGTAGCGCCTCGTCATCGCCTCGTATCTCACTGGCAGATACCGTTGAACAAACTGATTACTCACGTCGCCGCATATTTCGTTTTCCTTGCTCTAGTCTTCTATATTTCTAATCAAGATAAATATAGTCAGAAACGAGGACCTCCAAACACAGGTTCGCGATTTACTTTCTAATGACGCTTATGTGATGCTTTGTCAAGATTATCACAATTAATTGCACACGATATTCCAACTGCAGCTTGATAACGTATCATTATGTGGTACACGGGTACCTCTACTTGCTGTGTATCATTTATATTTCTTTATTTGTTAGTCAAGTATACCAAAGACCGTTACCGTGGAGCTTTTTAAGGTAAGCCAATAGGCGATGTAGATAGTAGTCTATAAATGGTTGCTTTGATTAAACAAGAACAAATGATAGCTGGCCTCGTTTGGTCTGCTAGGTGCGGAGGCGCCGCTGATACTGTACGTGTGTGGCTATGCCTGGTCGGCTCTCCGGATGATGGTGATGCAGGGACCGCATCGATACTTCAGCAAGATGTGGAACTGGACTGAGCTCATTATGCTCACTCTGTTCTTCATGACATTCGTCTTTTGGGTTCTAGCTGCGATCGACGTTGCAATTTATAACGAAGAAGATTTAGGTAATGCTGAACAAAGATATTCGATTAATTATTAACCTTATGTAGATCACAGAATGAATGGACACAATATTTCTGTCCAATATGTTATACTTAGTAATTTTATTGCCTGTAATACCGATAGTACATTATTACCACTCTTACATCTACTTAGTGTAATTACTTTAAGCACTAGATGTCAATGTACCGCCTCGGTACTTAGTTATCGCTAGCACTTCTGCGTTAGCTCAAAGTAGGTATAAAATCATTAGATAAGATAGAGCTCACCGGAGCGGCTAAAGAACTTACGGATCACGTACCCAATAGCGTGTTTAGCGGTCGATGTATAGAAACGAATTTGCAAGATTGAATTTGACCTTTAAAACTATTCAGATCGCAAATATTGGAACCAGCACGACCCAACTTTATTAGCCGAGGGCACGTTTTGCCTCGCGACTATAATCGCTTTCTTCCGACTTATGTTCCTGTGCCAGTTGAACTACCATCTAGGGCCATTGCAGGTATGCTGATTTTACATTTAAATGCCGCATTGATTCTATGTAAGAATGTCCTCGTTAGAAAATGTTGCATACATACCTTTATTCAAATTAGATCTCCTTGTATGGGTTTACTGTTTCAAGAGTTCTCTTCATGCGAACATGTAACATTGTACCTACAAGTTATATTAGTTCTACTTTAACTTTATCGACAGTATCGACACTTGCCATCGATGCACTTTGAATAACTCACTACATTACAGTTACTTCACAGGTATCGTTAGGGAAAATGACTATTGATATTTACAAGTACATCATAATATTTGCAATAATAATCAGCGCGTTTACTGCCGGCCTGGCGCGGTTCTACCAGTATTACGATGGTATGGTTTATGAAGACGAGTTCGGAATGAAGACAGTACAGGTAAATACTGTAAGCAGTATCGATTAGGCGACTTTATTGCTAGCTAGCTAGCTGTACATTTTACGTTTATGTATTGCAATTTATATTACGGTCTATAAAACGCATGACCTCATATCCCAACACAATTGTCTTGAATACACAGTAAGATATAGCAAACTATTACCACTATCAAGTTAAACTTTAACCCGTGGAGACAGTAACGGAGTTTAATAGTCGTTATAATCCGCCACACATGTCATTTTGAAACAGAAGTTAACAGACTAGGTTAATATGAAATAAAAATGTTCACAGCGTAGGTAGCTTCTGACCAGCGAGACATTTAAACTTTACGCGGTTTTTATAGGTATATGTCTAAACATTCATGCATTTTATACGTATTTCTGAGGTTGAGGTCAGATCTCTATGTACCGGCCTGGCTGAACCGTTGTAATTCAGGGAGTTAGCGTTGTACTGGCGGAACTTACAACCTTTTTATGACGTCGTAGCCAATTTTAAAATTCATCGAATTTTTATTTATTTGAAACTCGCATTTACACAGAAGCTTCTACGTGATATTTAAGATTTGTCAGTAATAAACTTGACATTTAAGTAGCAACACGGTTAAAAAGCAAGTGAGTAGTAGCTAGCTGCGGGCTCTGAGGAACAAACGACGAGCTTTCGCGATCAATCATTAGTTCACATTGTCTGGAACTTATTTCACGGATCATTGCAACTCACAATGAAACATGTACTGTTACTTTACATTAGACGTTGGACAAAAACCGGATGATCTGCCTATGTAAAGCGTTTACACTGGTTCCCATGACTCATGGAGGTGCTGGCGCCTTTGTTATCAAAATTAACTGTTTTACTTTAAATTGAGTGGTGGTATCATGTAATGCGGAAGCTCGTTTACTGGAAATTTCATATAGTCATTACTCCTTGTTAGCAACCTAACATATTTATGCATAAATAAAATACTGCACAGTTGGCGCAGTGGTTGGGTGACCGGCTTCTGTGCAACGTGTCGTGGGTTCGAACCCCGCGTTCGGCTGAAAAGTGATAATGCCATTTTTGCAGTAAAATGACCATTATTAGCCCAGAGTCAGGAAGTTCGGCGGTGTTCCACCCCCGTGCCTCGGAAAGCCTGTAAAGCCGTCGGTCCTGCGCCTGACCTCTCTCCGGTCGTGACGGTCTACCGTCGCATCGGGTCCAGAGAGCGAGCGCACAGAGTGTGCACCTGTGTTCCGCACACACTTGTGCACTAGAATATCTCCTGCGTAGTGGGCTAGTCTAGTTGGACAGGCCACCATGATCGAAATCAATTGGGAGATTTATTGTTATTATACCAGTACCTATGGATAGTCTAAACTACAGTATGTATTTAAAAAACACGTCATAAAATTGTAGCAATTAATTTTCTTATGTAAAATATTGGTACTACCAGTCTATTCTATGCAGAGGGCTTGTTCTATGTAAGTGACGTAATCACGTAACGTACGAACTCATACTCGTTTCGATTATTTTAAACGTAGACTCGTACCAAGACCTCTGATTGGTTGGATCATTGGAGCCGGCCAATCAAAGACTTAAATAGAGGTTCTAACCAATACTTTCAGGTGGCCTCTTTCACGAGTTTGACAGACACCCTAAACACGTTGTTCTGGGCTCTATTTTGCATGGCGCCCTTGGAAAGTGCTGACGTGGTGCTGGAGAACACCCGGGATCCAAGGAGTTTGGACAAGTTGCATGAGAACAGACATGGGTATACTGAACGTATCGGATACTTTTGTTTTGGATGTAAGTCACTTGTTAAATGAAATCTGTAATTAAAAATAGGACTTTTTTAAGCACTTATCTACCTAAGTAATGTAAATTATTCTGCAGGTTTTAATTTAAAATAGAAACTGGGGTAAAGTAAGTTATTACAATTTTAGTAAAGTCATAGGAAGCTTTATTAAATGAACATGTATTTTAGTGGACTGCCTCGTTAGCCGAGTGCTCGTAAGTGCGACTGCTGGGCAAGGGGTCTTGAGTTCGATTCCCGGGCCGAGCAAAGTATTACAGGGATTTAAAAGAAAACTCAGTAGTAGCACGGAGTTTGTAATTGTGCCCGGTATATGGCAATAGGCTCACATTACATGGGGCTCATAACATGAATGGTAAAAAGTAAGTGTTACATTAAATTAAGTGTCGTAATGTGCATGTCTGTCTACCCCTTTGGGCATAAAAGGCGTGATGTTATGTCATGTGTTTTAGTCTAGACATTTACGATAATTGCTAGCTAAATAAAATTGCGAAGCAGGTCCTACCAGCACTCTAGATAACTATATATTTATTATCCCAAGATCTTAAAATAAATCCATCATAAGAAAAACGATGTTCATGCCTTAAAAGTTAAAAGTAAATATTCCATGTTTTTAATTGCAGGTTTCGAAGTAATATCCGTAATAGTGGTACTGAACATGCTCATTGCTACCATGTCTAACACTTTTCAAAGAGTTACCGACAACGTCGATATAGAGTGGACTTTCGGTAAAACTGAGGTAGGTATGCCTGTCTGATTAGTGTCAGATTTTTCACACTTTTATCTTAACTAACCGACTTCAAAAAGAGAGGGTGTTGAAGTCGGTTTTTTTTAAGTAGTTTATATAAAAGAATTGTTTTGAATACTTAATTACTACCGCACTCATAGTCATTTAATGGTTAACTAACCAAGTCCTTAGCATCTGTTTTCCCCGAACGTACGGCGCGTCGCGTTCTGCGCGTGTCTCAACCTCAACTCAAAGAGCTATTAGACCACCATCATAGATGGGGCCCAATAGGGTTGATGCCGATACGGACTTAACAGGTTGCGAAAGCTCCAGCTCGAAGTGCAAGAGCAGGAACAGAGTGGTTTTTAGTCAGTAAGACACTCCCTTTTGCCTCACCCGGGCGGGAGAAGCCATTGGATGATTTCTCCCCTCAAAAAGAAATCATCTGTTTTCGGAACATAACCATTACTAAAGAATATTTAATCATTAAATATCTCCGAGCACGTAATAAAGTAAGTATGTCATATTACGCTCTTTATATCTCGAAGCTAAATGGTTTAAATATTTATTCAGAAGGCGCTTTTCGCCATTCGTTTCGTTAAAGAGGACTACCCTATTTCCTTACAGCAGGCGCCACTAAGCCACTATGGACTGCACGGTTGGTGCGGTGGCTGGGCAACCGAATGCCGCGCAATATGTTGCGGGTTCGATTCCCGCATGGAACAACTCTGTGTGATCCACAAATTGTTGTTTCTGGTCTGGGTTATGTTTGGTAGCGCACCTGCGACATTTAAAAAGAAACTTTGTGCTAGTTGTTCTTCTTGAAAACTGTTTTTTAAAAGTGCTTAGTTAAAAAACATGTCGTGCCTAATCTACTAAAACCTAAGACGAGCCTGATTGGTAAATATGTATGTGAATGCCTATTTCTCTTACTGCTATTATAATTCAATTACAGCTCAATAGAATAAAACGTCATTCAATGAATTATGTAAATTCGTTTCAAGACCTTCCTGGTTATGTACCTATGTCACAGTTTAAACTCGTAAAATAGTTGAGGTTAACGAACCCGTAGGTGGTCGCAAGTTAGCAATAAAACTTTATAGTTAGATACCTTGGGCAAGTTCAGGTCAGGTACAGGTTTTTAACCCATTATGGACCATATTGTGCACAAATAAGGGTATTGCTTATTACAACCGATCCAATCTGTGCAGTCATTGTTTCTAATCGAAAACCGCTATCCTGTCGACGTCGTGTAGGTATTTATTACTGTTTGTTATTAAAAGTTCATACTTACCTCCCTATATTAGTGCTGGCTTATCGTAAAATGATATCCCATACCTACTTATAAAAAATGACCAAAGAACTTAGTCTGTAGAGCTTCGACATTCCGCATTCATTACCTCAATGATTTTATTTGTGAAGTAAATTTAATTAAACAAGGTTTTCACTGTTCTCTATGGTTTCACTAATCCTATGTGAAATCATATGGGATCACTCGACAAACAAGACCATTACCGAGAAACTCAAGGGTTCAAATTTGATTCGAACCCATTGTCGAACCACTGAACCTCTCACTACCTAATAATGCTCGGTTACACCAACGTGTTCTAAATAATTTCTTAACTAAGAGTTCCCTACCTACTTAGCGTGAAAGAGCACATAATCTAACCCTTTACCTTAATGTGTCACTTATAGGTTTCTTAAATACTTAAGTGACCGATGAAAAGTCAAATAAGAATAGGTACTACCCACTATATGAACTAGGTACCTACCTACGTACCTATACGTAGTTAGGTCTAAATACTACTTAGCAAAATAACACTGAACAATAACACCTTTAAAATTTTAATCCGCCTTTTACAATATTTCCAGGTATACATAGACTACATGCTGCAAACAACGCTACCGTCACCATTTAACTTGATCCCCACAGCATCTGGTGTGGGCAACGTAATGGAATGGTTTCGTGCTAGATTTAACCGCCCGCCAGGGGCCTATGCCCGATGGTCACCTTCTTATTGCTGTTATATCGTAAGTAATCACATTCCCTGACTACCTCATGAGTTTAACTAGAGGTTTGAGTACACGACGGCGGATGAAGAGGGTTGCGCCAAGAGTGACCTAAAAATTTTGCCAGTGTATGTAATCGTCGTTTTTCGTTTCCGTGCCACAGAAAATACTTATAAGATAATATTGGCCTGACCTGGCTTATTATTGGCCTTTTTTGAAGGGGGAAAATCATCCAATGGCTTCTCCCGCCTTGGGTTAGACGAGAGAGTGTCAGACTCTTACTGACTAAAAACCACCCCGTTCCTTCTCCTGCGCTTAGAGCCGGTAACCTGTTAGGTTCTCCGCGACTCCAAATCGGTAGGCCACGGAAGGCCGAAGGAGCAGTCTTTCGATGATTTTCCTCCCTTAAAAAAAGGCCTTCCGTGGCCTGATATTGGCCTGACCTCTCACTAGTCTAGTTAGATTACTCTGATCACCGTCTTTAGACAGTTCTTTAGATACCTAGGAGGTAATTTATTCTGGGACTGTGAAAGCTTTCAACGGCTCAATTTATGCGGCTGCATAGGTACCTACTTGTTCGGACTTTCTCAAATCTCCATAAAACTTAAATGAGAGAAAGACCTAGACAATCAACAGACGGTACCTACATAAATCTACGACCTGAGTGCCGTTGCACATTTTCTTGAGTGATCCATGTGGGAAGTTCGTATGCATGAGACATGAGGTAACTTAGGTCCCGTTCCATCTTGATTCCCAGAGAAACGTAACGCAACTTGACAACACCCGTATCAATGTATCGATGAATGGTGTTACTTAATTCATAAAACACACAATGGGACATTAATATGCTGGGCCCCTTTTATTTATCACCTTGTTTCTTCTTGCAAGCGTACATGCGGAAACCTTCAGCTATTACCGGGAAGCAATAGTAATTGTTCCATAAACACTTTATTAACACTCCTATGGGCTAAGAGACAGGTACGGTACTTTACTGTGGTGCAATGTCAAATGGATTTAATATTAATTATTACCAGAAGAAATTAATTTAAACTAAATTATCAGTATTTTACGCAGACTAAGACAGGAGCTACAATCTGACCTCAATATAAAACATCGATACTTAGATTAGAAAAGCATTTGGAATTTGAAGTGAATGGTAACCGATTAATATCGCATCCGTCCGTTGTCTCGGAGTTTGCGTGTGAACAAAACGGGCCGTTTAACGTTAATTATTTTTGCATTAGGAGCGTGATGTGGAAGCAAATGTTCAGAAAGAGTATCCGGCGCTGATGTCTGTTCTGGTGCAGCGATACTTTAGAGATAAAGACAGCTCGATGATAAACACTCATAGGGTTGAGTGCGAAGTGGCCGCTTTGCGCAGGAATATTGCCTGCATCAAAATTCCACGGAATCTTTGCACATCTCACGGGCCTGAGTCTTAAGCGTCTACACTACAACTAATTTACCTTCGTTGGTGCAATGGATTTGGCATTAACGCCAAAAACTGAGAATTATGAATACTCGTTGCTAGCATCCGAGTATTGAGAGGATTAAGACTACTCAGGGTTGTCACATTGATGTTTTCAGGCATTATCTTTTTACAATAAAAATATTCGCAATGTCACACCTAATAACCAGGTTGATTGTTTTATCTGTAACCTGTAACAAATATTGTCAAACATCAAGCATCATCATATACTACACTAACAGCACGTCCCGGCTTCGCACGGGGTAGACAATTATTTATTTTTGGAAATTTGGATTGTTGTAGTGACATAACTATAATAGTTGGACTGGACATATGCTACCGCGGAGTTTTTTGTAGGCATTATGATGTTCTTCAATACTGTTGTACATTATTTTGTTCTATCGCTAATAGTTTCGGCAGCGCATTCGACGAAAAACATTTTAAGACTCATTTTTCTACACCTTCGGTTACATTGTTCAAATTTTACCAAGGATCCCTAATTTTTTTCAAAATGAAATGTAACCTATGTCAAATTTGAAGAATGTAGCATTCTATTGGTGAAAGAATTTTTGAAATCTTTCCTCTTTATAATATTAGTATAGATATTTAATAATTGTTTAATTAAGAATTTTTATTATCTATACTTATAATAAATCTGTAGAGAGGTCAATTCTGTACATACAATATATTTAAAAAATAACTATCAAGGGGTGGTTAGGGATCGCTACTGATGTCAAAAATGCAATCAGTAAAATTTTTGTCTGTCTGTCTGTATGTTCGTTATGGAAACAAAAACTACTCGATGGATTTTAACGAAATTTGGCACAATTATTCTTCATACTCTTGGGCAGGTTATAGTATACTTTTCATTACGCTACGATCAAAAGGAGCAGAGCAGTGAAGGGAAATATTGGGAAAACGGGAGAAGTTACTCCATTTTTTAAGCTTCCGTCGCGTGTGCAGGCTTATAGGTTAAAGCTGCATAGAAATCATATATGACGGAAATATTCTCCTTAAAATTATATAAAAAATATTCCTCGACAGCATATGTCTATCTTTTATGGTTGACTCACAATAACACGTGAAACTCCCGATAGCTTAGCAATTCGGTGATTTCTGATTGTATTTGTCTACTCTAACGTTTACAATACTCATTCATAGACATTACGCTGTAACTGAAAGGCCAATGGTTGAAATTAGCTTGACTCGATATTATAAATGAAAATATGTGAGTTTATGTGTTTGTTTGTTACTCAGTCATATTAAAACCACTGAAGGGACCGGAATGAAATTCGGAACAGAGGTAGATTATGGTCTGAAGTGATACATAGGCATTTTACCCCTGGGACCGCGGGCGAAGCCGCTGGCAGAAGCTAGTTGATAATAATTATGTAATTCTTTCATTATAAAAGGTTTTTAATTAAGTCTTTGTAAAAATAATGTAATTTAGTTTTATTTTACTCAATAAAAGTCATGAATATGCTGCATAATATTGTTTTAATAATATAAGTAATTTAACATGGAATAAAATATATTATTTACAACTTATTCTAAAGTTTTTTGACATGGATACACTGGATATACCTAATGACATAATAATTATGTTTTCCTGAGTTAATTCATTACTTACATACCCCACGGTGGTAAGAACTTTCGGTAATATTTTTACATTCTGACTTCATTTTACATCGCCCTCATGCTATAACTAATAACTTTCCGCCAAGTATTCAGACAAAGTAATGAAACATATTTAGGTGATAGTTCATTAATTCGGTAGTTCTGAAGTTTTGAAAAATGGCAATTTTCAAAACTTCTGTTCTGTCGATGACGTACACGCATGCGTGTACGTCATCTAACAAGACAACTCAATCATTATTGGTAGTTGGTACAATATTACAACAATTCCTTACAGTCACATACATATACATTATACATCGCATAACATCCATGACAATATTAAACTAAAAAAAAAACTTAAAAAAATTATAATAAAAATAATAAAACATTTGTTCCGAGATATTCAGACCGTATTTCCCTACAAACACTTGTGTCACTGTTAACGAGTTGCAAGTCGTACGCAATAGAGATGATGATTAAAAACACTCAATCCGTCATAAATATGAGAAAAATATTGGACACAATATTTCTTCACATCTTATTTATATTTTTACTTATATATCGTCGATAACGGTTCTTGTATCCCATTGATATGAGGTAGGCAGAGACAGTAGAATACACAAATTACGATTCTGGTAAATTTTGTTTATCAATTGCTTCATGTTAGCTCGACGACTGAGAATGCATCAACTCACTTACTCAATACACGTCAAATATTTTTATTACCTAACTGACAGATAAAGTCCTTTTGTATATTTGTCTCATCATCCCCTAGCACATCCAAGGTCTTCGTGTATCAGCCTCCGATCACATGCGCACATGGAACTTCCCGGCTTTGGTGACATACTTGACGCCTTTGAACGGTTTGTATTTAGCGCCATACATGTCTAGGCGGCTGACTCTCAGCCCACTGACTGCCAGTTGAGGGATCGTGAAGTGCACGTTGATGCTCGGATTCGCTCCTGTGGTGTCTGCTCCTGTTGCCACTGATACCTGTAGGTAATTTTACGATATAATTGAGTATGCGCAAATAATAATTGTATGATTGGATGTTATGATGGAAACTTAAAGAAGTATGTACGAAATACAGTACTTTGTAAAAAGTAGAATAAAGAGACCAAGTAAAAAAATAATTTCATTAGCTTATAGGCCCTATTATTTGTTCGCTTAATTTTTGACTGTATCACTGGCGCAGTGGTTGGATAATCAGCTGCAGTGCAACGATTTTTGCAAGGAACAATTCTGTGTGATCCGCAAATTGTACTGGGTCTACTAAGTGTGATGTGTATATGAATTTGTATGTAAGCACAGCCACGACGCGAGGAAAAATCCTAGTATGGACGTAAGATTAAAAATATTAGTTTAAAATTTAAAGATGTGTATACTCACAGTCCCTCTAATATTTGGCAGCTTCGGTAATTCGATGCGTCCTATATCCCACAGCAGCACCTTGCTAACAGGGTCGTAGGAATATTTGCCTTGGTTCGCGGTCAGAGAGCAGTTCAACACACATTTAGGCATACAGATCTCCAATGATACATCTAAAAAAAAATATCATTCATAAGAAAGTTATCATATGCTTTCTCGCCAAATATCTTATAAGTTAGCTCAAACTCTCGTACTGAGAATATTAAAATATCTAGTTTTAAAATATAGCAGTGACTCCAGTAATCATTCAGTTTAGCCTATGGGGGTTTAGTCAGCGCTCACTTGAAACTACAAATATCAGGATTTATTCTATTTGTCAAAGTTCTGGATAGTCGTGCAGCAGTTAATGGTGTGTTAAAACCTCATTTCTTTTACACTAACTAAACCTTACTTTCTAAAGTCCGTCCCATAGTTTGTTTAGGTCCAACGGTGAGGTCCAACCGGCCCTGGTCCCCATTGGACCGCAGCGTCAGGTTGTGTCGCACGTACATTGGTATCGCGACCACGCTCTGAGACCCGATGTGATACGACATGAGACGGAAGTTACCGTCCGGTGGGATGAATGATAGTATTCTTTCAGACTGGAATAAATAAATCGTTTTATTTAAAAAAAAAATACATGCTTTAGTTAGACAGCCTATTTATCTATATTTTTGAACAATTCGTGTCTGTCAGTCGTGTCTGTCTATCGTGTATGTCTGTCGTGTCTGTCTGTCGTGTCTGTCTGTCGTGTCTGTCTGTCGTGTCTGTCTGTCGTGTCTGGCTGTCGTGTCTGTCTGTCTGTCTGTCTGTCTGTCGTGTCTGTCTGTCGTGTTTGGAAGGGAGGAAAAGTCGTGGTTGCACAATATCGTGGGAATGGACCGGTATCAGCTCAGAGGAGCAAGTTTTCCGCCTGGCCCATTGGCCAGGTCCGTTATTACAAGGCCAATTATCAATTTTAAAGCGGACGCCAACCTTCAGGCATGAAGTGGCACCATAAGAAGAAGAAAGATTTTAGTCGAACATTAATAAGAAGGGATAAGGCATAAAATCACAAACAAGTTTACATTTTTTAAGTTTCAGTGTACTTACCTCCCACCGTTTAAATCTGACACAAGGATGGAAGGAAACATCATCAAACAGGCGAGGATTTACAAATGTGAGGGTCAGATCTGGCATCCCACTTAACTTAATGCAGCAGTCAATCTGAAATTATTTTAAGAAGTACTGTAAATATGAAGCAAATTGAGATAATGCTGAATTGCTGACTGAAAGATAATTCTAAGACATACGGTAAAATGGGGTGAATAGGGATTGAGAGGTGAATAAAGACAAGAGTAAATAGATATTTGGAAATTCTTCATAGTATCGATTCACCCTTCTTCTGTCTCTATTCACCTCTCGATCCCTATTCACCCCATTTTATCGTATGTCTTAATCCTATATTATTATTGCTATGACATGTGCCTGAACTAGGTTCGAAACCTGTACCGCAGGCATCATTATTATGCAACTGTTAATCTGTATAATAATTACTCAATTTTAAAATTGCTTTGTAGGCCGAAAAAGGTGTCTGGAATTTGATTCCTAGGCAAATTCACTTAATTTTATTTCGTACGGTAAAGGGACAGAAGAGGGGTGAATAGATACTATGAAGGATTTCCTTGTATCTATTCACCCCTCTTCTGTCCCTACTCTCCTCTCGATCCCTATTCACCCGATTTTACGGTATTTCGATAATTCTCAGTAATAGCAGAGTCTGAAACTCATGCCATAGGCTAAATCATTTTCTAATACCTACAAGGTTCTGAAAAAACGAATGTTCTATTGCATTTAAAGTATAAAGGGTGTGATTTGATGTTAAATCACAGTCGCACAATGTCACAAGTTTTCTTTTATTTCCCTGTATTATAGTTAATTGCCAATAGGTAAAGTTACTTACATAACCCTGTATTTCAGCAGACACAGTAGCACCACTTTTATCAATAATGGCGTCCACTTCTTCTACAACGTCGAAGTACGCTTCGTTATTAGCGTACTTGACACCGGAGCGACGCCATGGCACGTTCGATAACTGGCCGGAGGGCAGTGTTGAAGATACACTAGAATTACACAGAAATAAATGCATAATTGACTGAACTGTGTCTGCATTCTGAGCTGGAATGACTAGTGTATTAGTTAAAAATTGATAATAATTTAATAAATAGAACTTTTATACCCAGTATATAAGATATCATATCATCAGAATACTGAAATGCTCCTCAATATTAACTCGTCGAGTACCGGTTTTACAGACACAATTAAAGAACAATAGGTCGCGGTCACCGGTGACCGCTTGGTATTTGACAGTTTAAGTTGTACTTATATATCATGCTACCTATGTCATGACGTGACAAGTAGGTATTCTTGGGAATGCCTTAAAATTGAGTGGCATTAGATTATTTAAACATATAACTAACTATTACCTATGAGGTTTAGGTTCCACTAGTGCTTACATAGTCCCTATAGTTAACAACCATATAGGTAGTTCATTTTTTTCATACTACTTACTTAGATTTCCCAGTAACAGTATTAGCAATAGTCCTTAAAATATTTGGTGGTTTAATCAATTCCTTTAGGATATTACTCTCCGTGGCCAGAGGGAAACCGTTGTCAAGCATTTCATCCAACAACTGAAATGTACAAGACAGAATAAGTGCATTACTACTAAATTAAATACACTTCATATTCATTTTATAATTAGAAAGAAATATACCTCGTAAACTACTACATAATTCTCTTTAATTATAGTCTCGGTACAGTCTGAAAAGTAATCCTGTAAAAGAGATAAATAGAGTTATCAGTACTTAACACACATTTAAACATTTGCACATCTGTTCAAACAGATTATTTATTCTATTTAATATTCCATACATTTAACTTATTTATAACAGACAATGCAATATAAATTATCTGTATTGAATTATTTTTTTTCTTACTTGGAATGTATCAACAACTCTATGCAGGAACTCGATCACAAAGAGTGGAGCTACCTCCTGCATGCACACAGCTACAAGGGCTACCCCACCTCTCTGTATTGATATCAAATAGTGATGTGGTGCAGCCAACACTGGAGGTACATCCTAAAAAAAGTTTTAATTAACATTTTATATTTAAAAGGATGAATAGAGACACCTTTATTATAGGCATTACTATTATTTAAAGTTTATTTTTTGGTACATACATTTGGAGATGCCCTTTGTGCCTCCAAATAATAGTCACATACTGATCTTGGCACCACACTTCTCCAATGCTTCTCAAGAAATACATCCCTGAAAAAATATTCAGTATATTTTTACAGTAAATCTTATAATCTGGTGTCTAGATTGTTGATAAAAGGGGCTTTTATAGTAGCATTTTATTGAGCCTTTATAAAGGAATTAATATGCTGCTCTGTAAATTTAAAAAACAATGTTTCAGTTTATACAGCAGCATATTAACGAGAAAATCACTACAATTAGCTTTAAAGAAGTTTATAATCTTAAGGGAAGATATTTTTTTATTGAATAGGAGGCAAACAAGCAGTTATTAAATGTTATAATATGTTTACATAGTAAGCATATCTTTATTAATATGCTTACTATGTAAGCCTACACCTCTGTCTATCACCAGAAACATCAGGGCGCGAAGTAATGATAGAATATGATGAGAAAAAGATAAATTCTACGAAGTTCACCAAATTCCAATTCTATTATAATAAGATTGAAGCAGATATGTATAGTTATGATACTATGAAAAACAAGTTATTTCATTTACCTACTTGATACCAAATGAAAGCAAAATACATACCCTGATGGATTTATAATAAATAAACTGTGAATCATTGTGGCTTTACCACTACGACCGACTTTTATTCTACTAGAACTGTTAAGAGATTTAATAAATTATTCTTATTGTGCTTTCACTTCAATGTTTTAACATTACTCCTTTAGTTTTAGTTCTATTCTATTTCAATTTTGGTTTTTTTTTACACCTCTCGACAAACTTTTACTTCAAAATTATTGACAGTTTGACAGTCATCTGACGTCGACGCATGTCACTAGTATTTTAGTAGAGATGTTACAAATTAGTTTTACAAATCGATTCTTATTTATTATTACTTCTCATATTAATAAATATATTTTATATTTGGTAAAATAATAGTAATCGTAATCGTATGCTAAACTAAGTAAACTTTATGTTCAGAATAATAAATAGTCGTTAGATTTCCCTGAAATATGTTTGTTAGGTTAGGTTTAGTGGTTTTACTGTATGTGGTATTTTGTTTTTAACTTCTGTATACGAACGTTTCGAAAATAAATAATATATAATATCAAGAAGTCTCTTACTTAACGTCTACGTATACTAAATGAGTCGACGCGATAAGTCACATTGAAGACTTCAATAATTTTCTATTTACATCGAGATTAATAAATCGATTGTTATGTACACAGCACTAACCATGAATTGTTTTTGAGCTATGTACATTACATTGTACAGTATGTCCACGTGGTTACCGCTGTAATGAATGATTTCAGAACTACTTTAAGACTTTACGGAAACTTAAAAAATATTTTGACTCTAACATTAGAAACGAAAAATTGAAAACAACATGTAATTTGCCAAAACTGTCTTGAATGAACAAGTTTGTATTAAGTATTATAAACATAAACAAACCAAAATAATACAAAAGTACTATGATAGCCGAAATAAATAATACATTGATCTAAGAACCTCTTTTAAATCACTATTACATGGATATGTCCTCGCATAAAATACCATGTAATTATAATAAACTTGGTTACAAAGATAGTATAGGCACCTGAATATAGCTCATTTTCAGTAAGTTTTACTTATTAGTGATTAAAATAATTTAAATAATAAATCAAATGCTAATGTATTGACACACAAAGTTAATTCATAAATTATCACTGATTGAACCAGCAAAGTGTCTTATGGGCCGTTCTGTTAATCAATAAAACAAGAGAATTCTTACTTTTTTTTTATTGAGACATATCTTAAAGTAAAGGTTTTAACGGTTGGACTTAGCGACACGCTCCAACTCATCCTTCTTCTTGATGGCATAAGAGTTTGAAGAACCCTTTGCTGCGTTGATAAGTTCATCAGCAACACACTCAGCAATCGTTTTAATGTTTCTGAATGCCGCCTCACGGGCACCGGTGCACAACAACCAGATGGCTTGGTTTACACGGCGCAGGGGGGACACATCCACGGCCTGACGACGCACTGTACCAGCACGACCGATCCTAGTGGAGTCTTCACGAGGTCCGGAGTTGATAATAGCTGTCACAAGCACCTGAAGAGGATTTTCACCCGTCAAGAGGTGAATGATTTCAAAGGCATGCTTCACAATACGGACAGCCATAAGTTTCTTGCCATTGTTACGTCCGTGCATCATCAGTGAGTTGGTCAGACGCTCGACGATGGGGCACTGAGCCTTACGGAATCTCTTGTGTGCATACCTGCCGGCGGAGTGGGGCAAGTATTTTGCGTATTTTTCCTTGACTGAGATGTAATCCTGCAGGGACATGTCAGACACCTGAACATCATAGCAACTCCACCTTCCAAACAGCTTGATTTCAGGAATGTCGGCGGCTAGGGGCAGGGGCGCGCTGTCAATAGCCATGCTGCCCGCTTCGACATTTTCATCATTCCAGTTTTCTTCAGCCATTATGATGCCTACAAATAAACATTCACGAATTAGTATTTAGCACAAGTAATAAAACTACACAAATATTCACTTGATTTAAAATAAATACATACTTTTTAAAGCACAACAGCGATTATAACCTCGTGTTGTCAAAAGTACACGAGAAAAAGGAAGTTGTCCGAGATTGAGGTCTGAAGGTTGGCATTACAACTTTGGTGTTGCCATATAAAAGGTAAAGTATACAGTTAATCCAAATTAGTAATAATATTACTATTATTCCACAACTTAACAATATAATCTTAAATAACTCTTATTAAAATAATAATATTGTTAAAAATCTGTGATCTTAAATTTAAAATGTGGTCGATATGTAGCTAGGTTATGAAAAGCAAATAATAATCGATTCAACCAAAAATAAATACTACGTATGTTGGTGTTTGATTGATGTTTAATTTCATATTTTTGTACATGAACGTTGAAAAAAAGATGTCTATAACCTGTAATTTAATGTAATGTAATTTGTAATGTCGGTGAATAGTCATTTTTATAAATTGATTATGAATATTAGTAATCACGATTAGTAAATTTTATTCAAAATCGAGCAGGAATGTGCATGGCACATGGGTTGCTTTATGAAAATGCCAGAAATTTTGCTAACAATAACAAGAATTGTTACATAATTCAATAGAAAGCAAGAACTTATTAAAAAAAATAGATGACACAACTGCGACAACAAGGGGTCTCGGGTTCGGCTCCCGGGTCGGGCAAAATATTACTGGGTTTTTAAATATTCTCAGTAGTAGCACGGAGTCTGGAATTGTGCCCGGTATATATGGCAATAGGCTCACCCCCTATTATATGGGACTCATAACATAGATAGTGAAAAGTGGGTGTTACATTGTACAGTGGTATGATGAGCACATCTGCCTACCCTTTTGGGGATAAAAGGCGTGATGTTATGTACAACTGCGACAGTGGCGACAACTGCTACAACAACTGACAAAATTACAATTTGTCAATGTCATTTCTTATCATTATCACATAAATGTCATTTGTCTATCAATAACTAGGAATCCGAATCCTCAATTCAATCCCCAATCCAATCCATTCGTTTCGTTCGGTTCACAAAACAGTGCTTGCGCCAGCGCAAAATTAGCGCCGCTGCTGTCGATTATTATTATTCAGCTGATCCGCCTATTAGAATAACTGGTTTCTTCAAGTATTGCATGGTGAAGTGATCTAAATCATCAATTTATTCTACATATCGACAATAATCAAGTATTGTATAGGTTAATTTGTGTAACTGGACTCTGGACAAAGTTCGCTATGGCTGCATTGAAGAAAACAAAAAATCTTAAACTCCTTACCGGCTTAGTACCTAGATATTGCCCCCAACTCACAGCTAGAAGAAACTTAAATCTACAAGAATTCCACAGTAAGGACTTGTTGAGGAAGTTTCAGGTTTCTATTCAAGACTTTCGAGTAATTGATTCTAAACTGGACACTAAACCTTTAGCGGATTTTAAAGCTGATGAGTACGTTGTCAAAGCGCAGATCTTAGCTGGTGGACGCGGTAAAGGTCATTTCGACAATGGTTTTAAAGGAGGAGTTCACTTGACCAAAAATCGCGATGAAGTTTTCAAACTAGCTAAAAATATGATTGGACACAAGTTGATCACAAAACAAACACCTAAGGAAGGAATACTGGTAGATAAAGTGATGGTGGCAGAGAGTGTGAACATTAAGAGGGAGACATACTTCAGCATAGTGATGGAGAGGTCCTACAATGGTGCTGCTATTGTGGCCTCCCCTGCTGGGGGTATGGACATTGAAGCAGTGGCAGAGAAGACCCCACATCTAATTAAAACTCTACCTATAGATATCTATGAGGGTATCACAGACAAGATGGCTAATGAAGTTGCAGAGTTTTTGGAATTCAAAGGGGAACTTAAAGCAAAGTGTGCTTCAGAAGTGCAAAAACTTTGGCAATTGTTTCTAAGTGTATGTATTTCAAAACTAATCAGCTACATTCAATTTGAACTGTAATAATATTTATTTGGTTATTTCTATGTCCAGGTGGATGCTACTCAGCTAGAGATTAACCCTCTAGTAGAGACTGATGATGGTAGAGTTATCTCCGTGGATGCTAAGCTGAACTTTGATGACAATGCTAGCTTCAGGCAAAAAGACATTTTCGCTCTTGATGATGTAACCGAGAGTGATCCTAAAGAGGTAAGTTACAAAAAATGTACAAATAGCATGAACAACAAACATTGCTGGATTACAATAATAAAACACATATTAATCCTATCATATTGTTTAAACTGTCAAACACCAAGCGGTCACCGGTGACCGCAACCTATTGTTCTTTAATTGTGTCTATAAATACGGTACTCGACGAGTTAGTGTCTATTTTAATCTTATTAAGCAAATTCGTTATTGAAATCATTATTATTAAAGACTTTAAACATACAAAAACATTATAATTTTATTCTAAATATTCTGTTTAAATGTCAACAGATGATTAACTTAAAGCGAGGACATTAATAAAAATGATCATTACTTAATGGGAATAGCAATAACCTACTAAATTTTCATGTTGACATTCAATTTATCATTGTTCAAGTACTTGGTGTTAATAATGGGTATTTGTTTTTATCACTGCCTTATCAGTATAACCTCTGCTATCATATTTTTTGTCTTGTTGCTATTTTCAACTTGAGATAGTGGTTTTGGATGAAGATTGTAGTACTGTAAAAGTTTACTGGGCTTGCATTCAAAATCATACTATCATCATTTTCTATTTACTTATCATATTATATAATATTGTTTTGAGTTACATAACAACCTTCTGAAATAAAAATTCACAAAAATTAAGCTGAAAAGGATAGGAATTTCCTATCTGTAGATATAAGATAAACTTGATGCAGCAAGTACATAATTATTATGCATATTTTGAATAACTCTTTTCAAACAATGTTATTCCTCAACTTTACATTACACCTTCTAATGCCCAAAGGGACAAGCAGAGAAATATATGTCCAATTTAACACTATTTTTATTAACTTCGAAAAAAATTAGGCTCCCAGTTTCACCTATATGTTTGTGCGCGATGATCTCGCAACTGGCTGAACAGATTTGATGTGGTTTTCAGAAAAATGTGTGTTACTTAGGAGTTAGGAGGACACTTAAGAGAAGATTTATATGTATTATAATAACAAAATGTAACTATTGCCTTTTAACATTTACAGAGAGAAGCTGCTGCCCACAATTTGGTGTACATTGACATGGACGGCAGTATTGGATGCATGGTAAATGGAGCAGGTCTAGCCATGGCCACTATGGACATCATAACTCTAAATGGCGGGAAGCCAGCCAACTTCTTGGATCTTGGTGGTGGTGTTGGACCAAAACAAGTATCAATTGCACTGAGGATCTTGGAATCAGATCCTAAAGTGAAGTCTATCTTTGTCAATGTGTTTGGTGGTAAGTTTAAATTGGTTAATCAGCTAAGTCTCTTTTTTTTATTTTATGAGATTGCATCTCATGCCATGTCTTTTTTTCTTTCAGGTATAGTCAATTGCCTTACAATTGCACAAGGTATCATCACAGCATGCAAGGAGAATCCTCCGAAACATCCTCTAGTCATCAGATTGGAAGGAACAAACTCAGATGCAGCTAGAGAACTGCTTGAAAACTCAGGTCTCCCTCTTAAAATCGTCCAGGATGTTGATCAGGCAGCTAAAACAGTAGTTAACCTCGGAAAGTAAGAAAAATGATAAATTGAAAAATTGCATAGACAATTCTTTGATTTACATTCAAATGCATACACTCGAAAACAACATGGCTGTCCCAAATTTTAAAAAATGTGCGTACTCAATGCAGTATTGAATATGGTTTGTGTTGTTTCTTTAAAGAGCCAAAAAATAATTTTGTTCATAAAGAGTAATATTTTGAACTGAAGGATTAGTTCCGTTTATAGGGAGTTTTGCAAGTAGTAGCCTGTCTGTGTAAACAAGGAATTAGAACCAAATAAAAAATGTAAACATTGTAGGAAAAAATGCCTAGAATACTGTAAATATGTGTACTTACATTGTACATTACCACTGACTAAAAAATACATAATTTTAGAAGACTGACTTTTTGTTCTAACCTGCTAATAAAATTAGAAATTCTAGTACTTAAGTACTTGTGTTTATGTAAATCAAATGTATTGCTATGAATTATGTTATATAATGTTTTGTATATAGTTTATAATATAATTATAGCACAAAGAAATGTCGTGTTTTAATTAAAAAATGAATATCTTTATTGATAATTTAAAACTACAGTACATTAATTCCAGATACATAGTGTACTAATGTATTAGCTAAGCGCGAAAAAGATTAAGTTTTCTTCCTTTGCTTGTATCACTTTTGACGGTAGAAATGTTGGCTTGGATTTCATCATAAGTGGGAAGGTGTGCGAGTTTTCCTCGAGCTGCTACTGCTGGCTTGGTATTCAACATTCGTTGTGCAACACGAATTATATCTTCACTTGTTGTTTTTTCTGGAGAAAGAAAAAATAGTTCATGATAAGCCATTTCAAGTAACTTGAAATTATTCGAGAAACTTAATAAATTCATTACATGTGTAAACCAAGCTGAATGTAAACAATACTTACCAATCTCGTTCATGAAGAATGAAGGTGGCTTTCTCTTGCCTGTCGCAAGTACTTGTCGGCCGACATCTTCAAAGACGACTGGCCTTGCTTCTAAATTCATCAATAACATGGACTGTAGCTGGGTTTTTGCCCTCTGAAATAAATTGTACAACATTTAAAATGATTTAAATTGATATGTCATTGAAATTTATTTTGTAAAATCAATATTGTTAATTCTTACCCGTAGTTCTGTTTCACCAACTTTGCCAGCCATGTTTGCAAGTTCTCGTGCAATTACCAGTGTAGTGTCATAAATGCGGTTAGGAGGTGAGGCAGCGTGGATGCAAAACAGTCCCGTGTCGCTATATGCGTGATTGTACGCTGTTGCATTGAACATCCAGTGATATCTAAAGAAAAAAAGTTCACTTATATTCCTTGAAACATTAAATGTAATATGTATGTAATACCTATAAACAATAAATAGCGCATCTTTTGCAATAAATCAAGTAAATTTCGGCAATAAAGCGAGGCAAGTAAAAAAGCAAAATAATCTAGACAAAAATACTACTTCACTACTGAGTTGACCGAGTGTAGTATTATACTATTATTATTAGACATAGTATTTTTCCTTTGGTTTCTATTTTGGTGATATAAAATTATAATAACATCTACCTGTTCAGGACATTAGTGTAAAGACGTGTGTACATTCCCTTGCCAGGGCCACCAGCTGAGAATGAGCCTCCACCACCCATCATCATGTTCAACACACATGTCGGCACAAAATCAGGGTCACTGTGTGAACAACCTAGAAATATAACACAAGAATATAACTATTTTAATCAATTACTGCTATTATGAGCCTCTAAACAGTTAGGTTGGGTACAAATCCCATAGTTGGCTTGTACAACACCCTCAGAAGAGAATTAACAAAGATTACACTAGTTAGCCATCAACTGAATTTTTAAAGTATATTTATGGTAATTATTTAATATTTATGTAAAGTAATACAGTAGTACTTACTTTCTAATCCAATAACAATATGAGTTAGTTCTGGTAGATCAGATCCTGGATACAGAGGAATTTCACAATCATCCTGAAACATTGATTATTTAAGTAACATCATTATGCTGACATGAGAACTGATATTGTTGTCACCAAAGCTAAAATATTTTCAAGTTTTACCTGTTCTATTCCCCCAGTGTATTGTGCGATGGAGCAATCAACATTAGGTGTGAATGCTTCATCAACATGCCAAGTGGGCTTCATATCCACAAAATATTTTTGGACAAATTCCACAAAGTGTTCATGGTCCACCTAAAAATCGTAAGTCAAGATTAAAAAGGTTTACTGATAAGTATGACAGTGGTCCTGTGGCTAAATCCTAACATAACCATGTTGTTAGAATAAAAAAATATTATGGAAAATAAACTGGCTGGCTGGCCGTAAGATTATTGTGTTGTGGTTATCAATCAATTAATATAATGCAAAAAAGACTAAATTATTACTTAAAATAAACTGAAACATTTAATCAATATTTTGAAGGCAAATAGTTCCGGTGCTCATGAAAGTGGTTATTTATATTAATACCATGTTATTTTTTTTTCGTATTAATAGGGATTTTGGAATACGACTTACACCAACAGCTGCAACCACCATCCTATCAGGTGTGTAGTGGTTCTTAAGGTAGTTCAGGATAATGTTGCGGTCAATTTTATTAACATTATTACTTGGGCAGATCTTAGGTAGACCAAGAGTGTTTCCTTTGTATGCAGCCTGTAATACAAAATGATAATATTATAAATATGGTAATTGTATTTACAATTCAAATGACAAATAATTGCTATTTAAATCATTTTTTTATTTTAACAATCTCTAAACTCACACTGTGGATCATATCCATCAATATGTTCTCTTGTTCAGGCCGCATAGACAGAGTCTCCAGTTCAAAAGCAACAGCCTGTCTTGCTGACTCTATCTCATCTGAAGAAAGCTGTGGTCTCATTGTCACTTCAGCCAAAACCTAGAAGATAAAAGAAATAGACAACTTTAGCAATCCAGTCTTTGTAGTGAACTATCCAGAATAGTCTATAATAAGTTTGCTTATTCAAATCTTTCTGAAAACATTACATTACCTGAGTGATAGCTCCCAAACCTCTAGAATCTGCACTGGTGGCATAGACAGTGGTGTCACGGGATGCTTGACAGTCACAGATACCTCCATGTCTCTCAAGCTCTTTGTGCATGACATCTCGGGTGGCATATTTATGTGTGGCCTGTGTTTAATCAATAACACAAATAAGATGAATAAAGAATAAAGAAATATTCCAAGTGTGATATTATCACACTTTCAATATTTCACATTTCTTAGAAGTCAAGTCACAAATTATTTATAGTCACTGATGTAGTGTCAAATACATAACAAAAAACTAGTCATTTCATACTTACACCAAAGCTTAGTTTTTCAAGAAAATGACAAATACCATTAGGGTAAGCCACTTCATATCTTGGACCAGAATCAATGACCACTGAAACAATGATGCAATATTACATTAATAAAATGAAAAAAACTATACCCTGATCCTGTGGCATGGTACACTCACACTATCAAATTAAAAGTACTTACCACCAGCGGTACAAAATTGCCCAAACTTTTTCTCTGATGCCACTCTCAATCCATTGCTAAGCACAGTGACTTCTGTTAGAGCATCATCAGTCTCAGCTGAAGCGTAAGCCACTGGCGGCAGGTTTGGCATGGGCTCAGACAATGGCGGCAAAGGGGTGACATTGCCTCTGTTCACTGCAGCTGCCGATATCTCGATGTCCTGGGTATAATTTCTTACAACCCATCTATTCGCACTCAACCTATTAAAAAAAATAAAGTTTCTTTAATAATGCAATTAATTGCTGTTAGTAATAAAGATCCTTAGAGAACAATGCATTTATCATCATAAGCCACTGAAAATTTTATGAGGTAAATCTTACTCCATACACATACTTTATGGCGACGCCGAAAAACAATATAAAACTTACCCATTTTTCATAGAAAACAACCTACTAAATAGGTGTTTCACTTCCATTACATGCGACATCCTCGCATAGATTTTAACACGGAATTTTTAAATCAGGAATTGTATGTGATGCTATAGCTGAAGAAAGAAAAGAAATGCCAAGCTTTTTTTTTGTTACGGAATGGAGATGAATGATAGTCATGACAATGAATGACAGCTAGCTAGACTGCTATTTGTTATAAGAGTTGCCAATAGTAAAATACTGTGAAATGTAAGGAAAGTTGCCCTATTAAAAAACTGACTGAATGAATGAAGTAATAATGATAAATGCAAGGACGTAGAAAAAAAGGGTTTGGATCGGAGTCAGCATTGGCATATCGGACAGCTTATAGGTAGCTTTACAGTTATGACATTGACTAAAACAAGCTGTCAAACGACAAATCATCAGAGACGTTGACGTTGAACGACTTGTTGATTTTAACTTTTTGTTTCCAAAATCTCAAAAGCAAATATTAATTGAGACTTTTAATCCAATAAAGTCGAAGTGAAATTTTAAGGATAGAAAATAGCATAAAAAATAAAATTAATAATGTATCTTTAGGTACTTTTGTTAAATCTATTTCAAAACAAGTTTAAGTTTGAACTGCAGAGTTGCAAAAAACGTTCAAAAATATAATGTAAACATTCAAGAAATCAATTGATATGTGCATATAATACTTATGAATTATAATTCGTCCCACAGTCCGCTCATTTAAATTTCAAATCATAATAGTCTGTGCCAGAAGTTTGAAGATTTTGTTCTCAAGAAAATATCTAAAATCAATCCAAAAATGACTTATAAGTTGCTAAAGAGGGCTCTAAGTACTTCGACGTATCGAAGTCGCCCTCAAGTATGTATTGTGGGTGCTGGACCGGCCGGATTTTATGCGGCGATGCATCTTACAAAGAAATTGGAGTCCGTAAACATTGATATATTGGAAAAATTGCCTGTGCCCTTTGGACTTATAAGGTGGGTGACAATAAATTTGTGTAGGTAGATTATTTAGAGATTTTTTTTACATTACAAATATTTCACATGTCCTTGGTATATATTCTAGGTATGGTGTGGCTCCAGATCATCCAGAAGTAAAGAATGTTATAAACCAGTTTACTAAAGTAGCACAACAACCCAATGTTAATTTCTATGGAAACATAACTTTGGGTAAAGATGTTCATCTGCATCAGTTGAGACAACATTATGATGCAGTCCTATTGGTAAATTTCCAAACAATTGTAGAAGCACTTAAATTACTCTAGTTTAATTTATCTATTCAAGTGTCTTATCCATGGAATATTTATGTTAATAGTTAGTGGAAGATTTACCTTCACCACTATACTGTGCAGTCAAGTGTAGTGTAGGCTTTGAAAATAGATAACTGAACAAAAGCCACTTGAAACCAGTAATTCCCTACATACAGCTATTTATGCTCTAGTTACTATCTTGTTACTTGTTGTTATTTAAGGTTTGTGAATGATTTCAGTCATATGGTGCTGAAGAAGATAAAACCCTTGGTATAGAGAATGAAGATGCAACCAATGTTATTGCTGCACGGAGATTTGTGGGATGGTATAATGGACTGCCCTGGGACAAAGATTTGAAGGTATATTTTGGAAATGTAGTTACACATTGAGCAATTGTTATTGGCAATGTTAATTTATATACTTATCTCTTTTCACAGGTTGACCTTTCCGGCAGAACAGCAGTTATTCTTGGTCAAGGAAATGTTGCCCTTGATGTGGCAAGAATATTACTTATGCCAATTGATGAACTAAAGAAAACTGATATAACAGAGCATGCACTCAGTGCTTTATCAGAATCTAAATTAAAAGAAGTATACTTGGTAGGCAGAAGAGGACCCTTACAAGTAGCTTTTACCATAAAGGAACTCAGAGAACAACTAAAGTTGAAAAACTGTAGAACAATATGGAATGAAAAAGACTTTGTTAATGTTGACAAAATAGTGCCAGATCTACCTCGCCCTCGCAAAAGATTGACTGAACTTATGCTAAAATCATTAAATGAAAACCAAACTATAACAGATGATGATCACACCAAGTATTTCAAACCAGTATTCTTTAGAAGTCCAAATAAATTCTTGGTTGATCAAAACAACCAATTGACCGGGATTGAACTAACATATACTAAACTTGTAGGAGATAAACTGGAAGAACAGAGATGTGTGCCTACTGAAGAGAAAGACATACTCAATTGTGATTTAGCATTCAGGAGCATAGGTTACAAGAGTATTCAGGCAGATAAAGATTTAATATTGAATCATGGAGTAGTAGAAAATAATAAAGGAATTGTTGAAGATAGTGCAGGCCTAGGAAAACTTTATGTAGCAGGTTGGCTTGGCACTGGGCCTGTTGGTGTAATATTACATACAATGGGAAATGCATTCCAAGTAGCTAAAATTATACTTGAAAATTTAAGCAACACTGACAACAACTATAATAAAAGTGGTTTCACAGAAATAAAGAAAATAATTAGTGAAAATAATGGCAATGTTATTGACTGGGGTGGCTGGGAAAAAATAGATAAGTTTGAAAAAGAACAGGGGAAAGTGAAAGGTAAGCCTCGTGAAAAGGTTTGCAGTGTGGAAAAGATGATTGAGATAGCTAAAAACTAGATATTGTAAATAAGTTATTATCATATTAGTTTTTAAGGAAATAATAAATTGTACATTGTGTATGGAGGGTAACTATAATATATTTACCATAATGAAATAATTATGTTTGTTTATACATTTATATTTATTAAACTATTATTTTGTTATTGAGATGAGTTTTCAATATTTATTCCTACTAGCTGCGACTTCATCCACGTAGAATATGATTTCGGTTTTATCCCATGGGAGCATTTAACCGGAATTAGGTGGTAGGATACTTTTTGTATCATATTATCTAAATCAGCCCATACCAAATTTCATCCAAATCCGTTCAGTAGTTTCAGCGTGATTGACGGACAAACATCCAAACAAAGACATACATAACATAACATCACGCCTTTTATCCTCAAAGGGGTAGGCTGAGGTGCACATTATACCACTGTACAATGTAACACCCACTTTTCACTATTTATGTTATGAGTCCCATGTAATAGGGGGTGAGCCTATTGCCATATATCGGGCACAGTTCCAGACTCCGTGCTACTACTGAGAATTTTTTTTAAAACCCAGTAATACTTTGCCCGACCCGGGAATCAAACCCAAACAAAGAAACGTTTATTATACAAGTGCGATGTAATGTTTGGCTATTTTTTGGTCTTGGATTTTATCATTTCTTTTTTCGATTTATTTTAACCTAACAAAAACATGGATTGATAACACGACACGATACATAAAGTTATTGCAGTGGATTCGCAAATCAAGGTAAAAACAAGGACGTTCAAAAAATTCAACGCCCTTTGTTGAAAACAAGATGAAAATAATATCAATCGTGAGAAATCTAAAAAGACTTTGTGTTATTTCAATGCTTTGCTTCGCACTGTCAGCCAGCAAACTGACAACTAATACACTTTGTCAATAATGTCAATTCAAATTGCATTGTTGACGCAGGAACGGTGCTTGTTGTTATAATATTTTAGCCTATTTTTAATTCTTATCGTGATCAGATACAGTAAGAAAAAAATAAATTTATTTTACTTGTACTTCTTAATGACGCAGAAGTCGTGTGTGAAGTGATATTAATTATTATAACCTAACCTCTAAAACCCTCAGCATGGCCAACGAAATTAAAATTGGTGATTATATCGTTATACAGAAGCATAACTACAAAAAACTGCACAAATTCAATAAATCAGATTCTACTATAAACTTAGGAAAAGATACTATTAATCTGGAAGGTTTAGCTGGCTGTCCATACTTTTCAGTTTTTAAATTGATTCCTAAATCAAATAAGAAAAAAAGAGAATTCACGGTCGAATTAGCAGAAGAAGCTGTTAAATTAACAGACGAGATTGATATTAAAGTATCTGGTAATGATAATAGAAATATTCTGGATGATGGACGCTCACAAAAGTTATCCGCAGCAGACATTGAGACACTCAAAACTGATTCCAATAAAGCATCAGACATTGTGGAAACTTTAATCAGTAATTCCAACACATTTCACAACAAAACTGAGTTTTCACAAGACAAATATTTGAGGAAAAAAGAGAAGAAATATTTTGAATACTTCCAAGTATTAAAACCTAATTTAAGAATAATTAGTGAAATTATGTACAAACTAGAACCTAATAAAATTCAGAACTTGCGGATCGACACACTATCGCAAATTATAACAATGGTAAATATTCATTGTGAGGGCAACCACTTGTTGTATGACTCTGGTTCCAATGGGTTAGTGGCAGCCACATTATTGAGTGCTATAGGAGAGAACACTACTGGTAAACTAGTACACATGCATCCTGGTAACATGTCACAAAAGCAAGCATTGTTGGCTATGAACTTCCCTGAAGAACAATTAGCTAGATGTGTTTCCGTCAATGTATACTCTGCACTTAGACAATTCTATCAAGGCTGTGATACAAATAATTCTGCGCCTCAAGAAGAAAAAGCAGAAGGCACAGAGCCAACTTCAATGAAGAGAAAACATGAAGAAAGCTCCGAAGAATGCCCATCAAAGAAAAGTAAACAGGACAATGAGAATGAACCAAGGGAAAACGATAATACAAATGTTTCTGACCCTCCAAGAGAAAATAAAAAGCCAAAATGGCATTTTGATAATATAGCTGCTTCAGAAATCTTGCAAAATAAGATGGATTCCTTAGTAATAGCATGCAAAGAAGATCCACAAAATATTTTTAATGAATTAGTGAATTTTGTTAAGCCCGGCAGACCATTTGTGATCTACTATAATGTTGCAGAGCCTTTGCAGCAGTTGTATATGCAGTTAAAAATGCAAAGTAATGTTGCAGCTCTTAAACTGACCTGTAACTGGATGAGAAATTATCAGGTAAGGTCCCTTATTTCAGGGTATTTTTTATAAAATAATTATGTGGAGAAAGTCACTGACTCACATTATAAACCGTATAAAATAACTTATAATTAATAAATGATCAAAGATTTTCTTTTGAAGTTGCATGTTGAAATTTTAATTGCCCAATTATCAAGCAAGAAAAGCATTACTTAGAAGCGATGCATGGTTGGTTAACTGGGTAAAAGCCACCATCCATGAACTTTTCTTTTGCCATAAATTTTAATGTAAGCTTTCTTTACATACTTGAAGATCAATTAATTAGTCATGTTACTAACAATAAAAGTATTCAAGATTAACTCGTCGAGTACCGTATTTATAGACACAATTAAAGAACAATAGGTTGCGGTCACCGGTGACCGCTTGGTGTTTGACAGTTTAAAATAATTTGGGAGACAGACACAAAAAATGGTACTTATTATTGCAGACTTTCATTATTTTTTTTTTTTTTTAAAGACATTGAAATCTAAATAGTACATAGGATTGAATAGGACATAGTTTTAAGATTTGATAACTATTATTGTTTTGATGCATATTTTGTACTGCAATAATTTAATCTCCGAAGTGATGTATTATATCAAAATTAAGCTTTGATATCTTATCTTTACAGGTGTTGCCTGATAGAACTCATCCAGAAGTCACAATGAATGCATCAAGTGGTTTCTTGTTAAGTGGTTATGTTCTTAAATAATTATATTATCATTGTTGTACTAACTAATCTAAAGGAATTTAAATGTAAATAAAATAAACAAAGTATTTTTTATAAATTTATTTATTTCTCTCATTTACTCAATGAACATATCATGTCTAAATGCATTATAAAATTTTATGAATCACTATGACTGACATGCAATGAAAGACTGTATTTTTTGTAGACACATTTTAATATTTTTTGTTAAATCTCCTGTGTATTATTTCTCATTTACAACTTTTATACGTAATCTTTAATTTATTTTGTAATTAGTCCTTTTTAAAAATTGGGGTACCTATCTAGGCAATTCTGATCATGTAAAAATCACAACAGTAAATTTTCTTTATAAAATTTCATAAAATTGTGGAATACAAAGACCACCAAATACAAAATGGAAACATACACAGATTTATCACTAGGTATTGAGATATATCTTGCAATACTCTGTGATGAAAAGCTTCAGTGTCATATCATCATACTGTGGAGGAATGTATTTCAGTCTAATGTGGTTTGCATTTGGTGTTGCTCAGTGATATATTAACACTATGAAAAATAACTTAATTTATAGTAATAAAACATATATTCGAGAGGAACATTGATTGCTGCGACCTGCGTGAATAATGATACATATTTATGCAGTAATGAAATGAATTTGGCACTTATCTAATTATAAATAAGTTTAGCTCCAGCTTCTATGATGCCAAGCATGTGCTGCTGTAAAAAGCTAAAACTGCTGTTCATGATACATGTTGTGCTGCAACAGGGACCAATCTTGTTTCATTAATACAGTAAACATATTCAATAATAAGGATATTATTTAACACGTCGTGTGTCTAAACGCGGATCCGCGACAATATACTTTCTATTGTGTCTCATATACCGGCATTCAAGCGGTTAATTTCATATCATGTCCTACATTATATTCGATTCCTACTCTCATATCACTAACTTCCTATTGCCAACCGTTTTTAAATCTGCCAACTTGTATGGCTAGATTGTACGTGACATTTCTTATAGAAATATCATTGATATTTACCAAAAGGTCTTGTCCACACTCCACAACAAGTAAATTATTTAATTAATTGATTTATTTATTTGTGTTCAAGGACATGTTTATAATAGACTTAACTACATTTATAAAATTGTTATCGCTGTCGCTAGCACCATTTTTGCAGTTTAATATTCGTATAATACATAAGTGATTACATTCATGTGTGTCCACTGTTGGTTTCTTTCTACAAGAGGGGAATGTTTTAATCAAGAAGTGAATGATATGATTAAGATATAATGATAGAAGCAATAGCATTGAATATATGCCTACAAGCAATTCATATTATACAAAAAATCATTACAATTAACTTGCGCTCTACATTTGTAAATATGAATTCATTCAAATAATTAAATAAGATATATTACTCGTATATTACAGAATGTTATCGTTAAATAAAAATATCCGTTATAAATATTATAATTTCTTTAAATCTAAAGTTCATTCTAAAACTGAATAGCTAATAAAGCGGTAAGAGAAATCTAGAGATCTTCAGAATTGTCAGTTTCATTCAATAAGCGAAATATAACAATATTGTACTCACTGGCTGACATAAACGCAGGAAACAAAATACAAAGCAATCGAGCAGCCATAAAGTATTTAGGGTTGCGTAAACTCCGCCAATGTATAGCTACATTACAATTTGTCAAGCCATATGCTAACACTATACAATAAAGACCCATATATTTTGCAGCCAATAGCTGGTCTTATGCAAAGAGAGACGCAGTTATCCTACCCATATTATATTTCGCTGAATGGAAATCATTTTAAGAATTTGTCTTATAATATAAGATAACACAATAATTCAAAACCAAAACAATAATACTGCACCGGAGTTCGCACCAAACAATATATAAATACACAAACTATTTATGCATGCAGTATCTTTAAGTAAAATATGTTAAATAATAACTTTGGTATTGGTGTTAACATATCGAAAGGCATAAATCGCTGTGATTAGAACAGCACTAAACGCTAAAGCCGTAGCGTACATTCAAAAGAGTTCAAGACTCTGCTTGGCCGGTAACGCGTCGTCACAAGGGCGCCGACATCGATTCACGGCAAGACTCGCCCGGCTATGAAGAGTCTTCATCGTACCACGTGCGGAAGTCGCAGCTTTCGTCATAATCGTCCTGAAAACAGAAAATATATTTTAATACCAGTTTTACCAATGAGTCTGTGAGAATTAACAAGTTTATTATATTAGCATAATCAAGTATAAACTGACCGCCATCCAGGCGTGGTCGAGTACGTCCTCAGCAGCAAAGCGCAGCTCTGGCTGTGGACGCAACATGTTAGCGACCAGGTCGATGGCTCCCGCGGACACGCGCTCCCAGTGCGGGGCAGGGAACTCTAGCCGAGCCGACAATATCGCATCGAACAATTTCTCTTGATCACCGTCAGGAGACGAGAAAGGCGGGAATCCACATAGCAATATGTATAAAATCACGCCAGCCGCCCAAACATCAATCTGGAAATAGATAAATAGATTATATGTTTTCCTGTGTAACTATTTTCTTATCTCTAACTCTACATGAAATAGTATCATCATTTAGTTGTATTTATGTATATGTAAGAAGGTCATGTGAGTGTGACATGTCCATAAAACGTAAGTATTTGTAGAGGACTAAAGCCATTTTGTAAACAAAGTTAAAAGTTCAAGTTCACTTGAATAGTTAAAATGGTGGGAAAATACGTTATCTTCCATCTAAAACAACAACCGCTTTTATATAACAAGTCATGGGAATGGTATTTTCTGAGAGATGTGAGGTGGAATGCATGTTTTATTTCCATACAATCACATAACAATCGTAAGTGTATTGTCCACTTTAGATTGTTTACGAATAGGATAAAAAATATTACCTTTAGTCCATATCCAGTCTCCAGTAGTATTTCAGGTGCTACGTATGTAGGAGTGCCACAAACGGCGTGAAGTGGTCGCCATACTTCTACGGCCAGACCAAAGTCAGCCAGCTTCAGGCCGCGTATGCTGCCATCCAAACCCACTTCCACCTGGAAATTCGTGTTACAACATTTATTAATTTAGTGCAATCACTCTTACATTGGCGTCATTTCGAAATTGTTAGAATACATCCTGTACAAATTTAATATACTTCTTCCATTGAATGCCTCATGAGATATGTAATGAAATAAACATAATATGTACAAGTGATGATGCTAGTTTACAAGATATTTATTAGGTTGATAGTATAAATTTATTACATGCTTTCACTTTGGGGTGATAATTCAAATGTTTCCAAGGATTGTTAGTTGATATCTTACCAATAGATTTTCGGGTTTGATGTCACGATGCACTATAGAAAGCGAGTGTAGATATGCGATAGCAGATGTTAAGTGGCCGATTAGCAAACGCGCTTGGGGCTCAGAGAATTTGGAAGCGGCCGCGATACTATCAAACAAGTCTCCACCTAAAAATATAAATAATGTTCAAGTGGAATGAGAATAATAAAGCAATGTTCTATTAGATATCATTGGAGTATTGTTAATGATGAAATGATTGGGAGTTCCAATAACAGACAAATACACACCACTGACTAATTCCATTACAAGGAATAGCCACTCAGGACTATCCTGTTCTTCGATTAGAGATACAATTCGTGGATGACACAGCTTCCTCATGACTCGAACCTGAAGATAAAAACCGTTCCATTATAAAACATCGAATATCAACATTTATAAATAAGTTCTTTGGCATCACATCAAAGGTCTAAGCGTACGCGACAGCGCAAAATGTTTTCTCTGCTCTATAAACAGCTGCATGACGCGTCATAAATTTTTATGTTTGCATTTAGAGTTTCTTTTAATTATTTCATTGCATCATAACACAGATATTAGGTAAAACGGTTATAAAAGCTGTTAACAGTGTTGAATATTTACCTCAGCCTCCACATAGTGTTCCTTGCCTTTGCACTTGGCCTTATCAATAACTTTGAGGGCATATTCCTTCCCAGTGGTCTTGTCTTTACATATCCGTACAACAGCGAAGTTGCCGTCACCTAGTATTGATATGACAAATGGACGATAATGATAAAGTATTGCTGGTAAATATAGATAATAAAAACTGGTCAGAGCCTATTTAAGTTACATCTACCTTATATCTCATAGGGATTTTCATAGTCGTCTTTATTTGTATAGCACAATGATATTTTATAAGTACAAGAAAAGAGAAATAATGATTGCAATTAGTTCTCCTATCAAAATATTAAAAAAACGATTTTGAAACGACGATTGAAGTGCATGTAAAATGTGCACAAATTAAAATTATACTATTATGCTAAAGTGTAAAACTTTTTAAATTGTGCAGTCAACAACGATAGTGTGTTCAAGTCTGAAAAATCTATAATCATACAATATAAAATATCACTGCTCATCAATGCAAAAATTATAAATAAACAATACACTGACCAGAATCTATGTTATAAATGACTAACACAAGACAACAGACAAATACACTATGGAAATATAAAAGAAGTGAATTACATTTAGGAAAAATGAATGATGATTTTATTTGAATAAAGTGTAGTAAATACCTATGATTCTGCCGACGCTGTACTTGAGTCTTAGAGGTTGTGGTAGTAAGGGGGCTGTGGACTCGTCAGAGACATCGCCGGTTGCGCCTGCTCCTGCCTCACTGGCCGCTCGAGCAGCGCCACCACCCGCTTTCACAGGCATACGCGGTTTTGGGCCAGTCCTGTAGAATATCATAGTCAGTTCCTTTGTGTTCTTACAACAATAGAATAAATTGAAGGAAATGTATTAGAACATACCTTGAATTTCTTGATATAGGAGTTTTTCTACATTGTAGCACAGCCTTATTTTCTTCAAATTCCAATTCAAAATCCTCTTGGTTGACCCTGAGAATAACATAAAAAATGAGTAAACATCCCATACAATTTCATAATAATAATAACATGTCTTATTGGAAAATAAATGGTACCTTTCATTTCCATAAGCAAAGAACACATCTTCAACTTCAAAGAATTGGTTCAGTGCTGTGACTACAGATCCAGTTCTTGTGAACACTTTACGGACACAACCTGTGTCTAGTTTAACACATTCTGTTATAGCGGCAAGTGCATGTTCCAGTGTGGGGCTGTTGCGTTTGTTTAGTAACAATCTGCACACCTGTCGACCAGTATTATTATGAACAGATAATAATTATAATGTTCTTGACAATGTACACGTAATTCAATAGGATAAAAAGACTTATTTTCCTCTTAATTGGCGTGTACCAATGGCGTCATTTTATACTATTTTCCAAGTAACAAAAGTATTCAGTCCCTGATTCACAACAAATAGAAGTTATCTTAGGTGTTGCAAAAGTGTAGACATTAATCTTTTATTATCATTTAGTCCACAATCGGTTGTAGCAAAGTGACACATAGTTGCAAGTAAATAGATAAACAAATGTCTTACCTTCCGTGGTTTAACTCCATTACGTATAATAGTAACTATGCGTGGTCTGACAACATTGTCTCCAGCAGGGCTTACTCTCGCTGTCCCGTTGCCAGTAGTGCTACTACCATTTGCCTGTAATATTTTTATTATTGTTAAACCCACACTCCACAGTTATGAGGAAAATAGTTATTAGCTATACTTGTAAATTATTAATTACATTACCTGCAAATATCGGGACAGTCTGTTATTAGCTCTAGCTGGGGATGGACTTGAGCTATCACTCAAAGACTCAGGGCCACTTAGTCTGAAAGATTGAGGGGTCACTGCACTGGCTTCATAATCTAGACGTTTGAAGGGTTCACCAAATCCACTACAGACATATGATTGCCCATCTTCTAGATCATCCAGTTTGCCTATCTGCGGACAAAATAATATAATAGACATTATTATAAGCTCAACTTATTGACCACTAATAAGAATATCCTAACAACTTACTTTTCTACCCTCAAGTGAATATATTGCTCTGACACCACTTGGCAAAGTTACATTGTCAACTAAAACTCTTGTTAGATCTGCAGTAAGACTATCAAAGGACCTGTAAACAAAGATATAAAACTAGATTATTAATTGGCCATGTCAAATGTGATATCAATATTTATCAACTACAAACTATGTGCTTTTGGTGTATTTAATGTATTAACTCGTCGAGTACCGGTTTTGTAGACACAATTAAAGAACAATAGGTCGCGGTCACCGGTGACCGCTTGGTGTTTGACAGATTAAATATGTTACAACTATCACAATGATTATAGGGTCAATTTAATGTCTCAATTTGCAATGAATGAATCAAAAAGTATGTAATAGAAGGAAGATGATAATTGTTTCTTTAGGAACAAACAATTATATTGATTTGAAATCAAATGGGTATTTATACATCACGGGAAGGAAAGGCAAAATTATAATCAAACAATTATCATAACATCCTGTACAACCTTGATAGGGTAATTGTTGCTTATTTAACTCACTACAACAAGCACACAATCAAATTAGGGCTAGATACATCACAATGTTTACTGCCAGAATTTAGATGCATTTAAGTCATCATATCAAACTTTTCATAATTTATCATAATGATAAGTTATTGTGATTATTTTGCATTATTTATAATTATGATACTGAGTTCTTGGAATGGAAAGAGTAATGTACTTATATACATGTATATATTATTATAATATTATGATCTAATTATGAAAGATGAGTATGTGTGTCATATTTTTATTGTGCTTTGATATTAAAAAATAAAATTACTATCATATGACTGCCGAGTGCTGACTTGCCAACAAGTGGTAGACCAGAATGTAGAGAATTATTGGAATTTAATTAATTAAATCGAATACGAAAGTGTATCGCGTAATATAACAATAATAATATGCATAATGACACAAGAATTAGCTCACCATTGCAAACATGCAATTAAATTCTCAACAATTGAATATTGCTTCATAACTTCACAATGGGACTGTTGTAGTTCTGTTGTAGACTTACATAAATACTTTATAATGTCCAATTTAGAATAATCTATAGGTATGTATAAAAGTGAAAGTGTTCTAATGATTTTCTAACTGGAACTAATAAGAGTTTCCTATAGCAGTTTACGAAATGTAACACCAACCTGTATCTTTCTGGCAAGACTGGAATTATGACACCTGAATAAAATTTATCACCATTTCTAAAAAATCTGACTCGTTTTGCTTTCCGCGCGGCTGGCGTTCGGAGCAGTACGTTACGTCGGTTCGTCCTAGTTTTCATAATTTCCATGTCGCTAAAGTCCTTTTCCAGCTCACATACGGAGCTCGATCGGCTGCCACTACGGCTCAAATTATTCTCCATCTAAAATACAATAATAATTGAATTTAAAGTCACAATTAGAGCAGCATAACGGATCATCTTTACAACACGATCTAACCCTCACCTTTTTCCTTTCGGTTCAACGAACTATTTTAGTAATATGTCGAAGGAGCAATAAGTCATCACAACTAGTGTTCTCCCATTTTGCACTTTGAAAAAGTGAAAAATATACAGGCAACGAAATTAGAATAATAATTTCTGTAAAACTCATGAATCACACAGAAATCAGCGCAGACAGATAGACGAATCAAACGAATGAACGAATTACGAACTTATGAACGGCAGACGGAACGGAACGATTATGAAATGAAGTGAATGAATAAGATTTCATTTTTCAAATATTGAATGATTGAAATCGAAAACCATGAATGACTTTTTTACATCATGTAACATGCAATCATTAAATCATTTATTATCCGCTTAATATAATAAAAGGGCCCATTCACCATCCAACGAAACAATTAACTTAGGAGAAAGTAAGAATACAAGCGCATCGTTGGACGTCCATCCGCATGGTGGGCAGACGACCTGATTTAGGTCGCAGGGAGTCGCTGGACTGGATGCAGGACGCTTCCAACCAGCCTATATGGAAGTCATTGAGGGAGGCCTATGTTCAGCAGTGGACGTCTTATGGCTGATATGATAATGATGAACAATACAAGAAATATTCTGATTACGCTAACTAAAAGTAAATCTTATAAGTCTTAAGTTTTACAAACGGTTTTCAAGTTATAACATTAAAAATTTCCTTCATTCATTTCAAAATATGAATTCTTTTAAAACTCTTATTTAAAAGTTCAAAAATAATCAAGTTTGAATCCAACATTAGTACAACCAATGGTTTGTAATTTATTTCCCTACTTATTACGAGTTTCTGTCGAATTATCAAGATTCTTTTACGAAGGATGTTTACATAATTATCATTTATTTATATGGCAATACACAGTAGCCATCGAAATAAACTAGCCACGAAAAACAGGTGACGCATTTATCAATTTCGTTTATGTCAAAAGTGCAGACAAAGAGTGTGATTATTTTGTAATTTTCCACATTTTTATAAATTTCTGTGTAAAATGTCGTCGAGAAAAAAGGCACTTCTGAAGGTAATTATCCTTGGCGATAGCGGTGTAGGCAAAACTTCGCTTATGAATCAGTTTGTCAACAAGAAATTTTCCAACCAGTACAAGGCAACAATAGGCGCAGATTTTCTCACGAAAGAGGTAATCGTAGATGATCGAATCGTCACAATGCAGATTTGGGATACTGCTGGCCAGGAACGATTCCAATCTTTAGGAGTGGCGTTCTATCGCGGGGCGGATTGTTGCGTCTTAGTATTTGACGTAACTGCCCCCAACACGTTCAAGTCCTTGGAAAGTTGGAGGGACGAATTTTTGATACAAGCTTCACCAAGGGATCCTGACAACTTCCCGTTTGTCATTTTGGGCAACAAGATCGACTTGGACAATCGCGCTGTTTCTGCTAAGCGGGCACAACAATGGTGTCAAAGTAAAAATGATATTCCCTATTTTGAAACGAGTGCCAAAGAGGCTGTGAATGTGGAGCTTGCATTCCAGACCATAGCTCGGAATGCTTTGGCCCAGGAGACAGAAGCAGAGCTGTACAACGAGTTTCCTGATCAAATCAAGCTTAATGCCAATGACAATGGTCGTAACAGGGATGGTGACAACTGTGCTTGCTAGGCCCTAAGAAATATGCTTCAATGATGGCAATTTATTAGTCTCAGATTATATAAAGTAAACATACATTAAAGTATAATAATATTCTGTAAGTAATGTTTCCTTTTATATCATGTAAAAATGTATAGAAATATAATGTACCACATTCACACATACTTTTAATTGGTTGCTGCTCATGAAATTTTAAAAATAACTACATTCTGTAAAATTTTTGTTTAAGTACAATATAATTTTGATAAATTGGCAAAAAATCTGTTAATAATTTATTAGTTTCTGTTCCAAAGATAACTGATTCCAAAAGTGGTCTAATAATAATTATTGTAATGTATGCTAAAATTTACATTATTGTAAAAAACTAGTTGAAATCGGTTTGAAATGTGTCAAGGTTACTACATAATGTACCTACCTAGTTGTGACCATTTTATATCAATATTTTGATGATGATGATGTTTCAAGTACATTAAAAAATATCTTCTCTGTTTTATATTTGTTACCATACAAAATTTGAGACAGCATATTGTATGAACATTAATTTACTTTGTTTTAATTTCTTACTTAACATTACATTCTAGAACTCAATTATGTTTCACTGTGACCTTAATAAATGACAAGTTTATTTTTATTTTTGTTAAAATGGGCTATGGACTAGGGTATTCCAAAATGATATAATTATGTATAAATATTTAAAAAATTAGAAAAATACTGCAGGGTATATTTCTCCGTTTCATTCAAAATAATATTCTCTGAAACAGGCCTGTTTACATTACATTGAGTGTGTAAGAAATAAACTAATTGTTAGGTGATGTTGCTAAACATTTCTAAATTAGAAAGAATGTTTTTTATGGTATTTGTACTGATTTAGTAAAAGTTTATTTTCAAAGGCAGCCACTTGGCTGATCATGAGCAAAATTGTTAAATAAAAAGAATTTGCCTCTATTAGGTACTTATATAACAATATCAAAGAAATAATCAATTAATTTAGTTCTGTACTCAATATTGTGTTAGATGAATATAACTTTGTATAGAAATGTGATGAAATGTATACCTAAAACATTCATGATATACAAAATGTGATATTTTAAGTTGAATTCTTTGTTAAAATATGTCGATTGTTATTTGTTCAGTTGCCTTTTGGTAAAAAAATGCCGAAATATACAGTATTGGTGTGGAAATTCGACTAGTGTGGCTTCACCTCTCTGTTTACCATAATTGGATTATCATTGTGGAAAGCGGACAGTGTTTGAACAGAGTTAATGCAACATTCAACATTTCTGTATATATTTGGATTTTAAACTTTAGTTGTAAGTAGTTAATGATAACACTATTATAAAATAACATGTTATATTACTCAGCACTATTCATTACGAGTTTTGGGTGTATGAGAACAAATAGAAATGTTACGACATTGACTCAAAACTGAAATGCGAAATATGTACCAACATACAATAGTAAAATATTACTGATTTGTATTATTTGTATCTGAACAATACAAGCAGCTTATAAAGCAATGCCTAATGCAAAATCCAGCTTTTTTAGGATTGTAGATTTTTGAGCAGCATTTATGCTGTATGTCGCTGTTGTTATTGGTATGTAACCATGAAGTCCATTGAATGTAGCTTTATCTTTATATAAATTCATACTGTTAATGATTTTATTATAAACCTCGCTAACTATGTTCATCATTCACACGACCTTGCCTTTATTTCAATACTTTAAAATTAGTGATCAATATGATTCTCACGTGTTTTTACATCGCATATTTTTTAATTATTATAGTATGTATAATTATTACCTAAAACAAATATAAATTAAGATCTAGTTATAATAAAGGAAGGTAACAAACGATGTACGCTGTAATAATGGTTGCTTTTAATTTTATATTAATAAACAAAAAAATCATAACTCTGTTTTATTTGTAGTTACGTGTTCTGTGGACCTTATTGTGATGTCAGCCTTGTATATGATTCTGTAAATGCGGGCTTATGATTCACGAAGTAATGTGCCTAACTGAACAAATCGACGTAACTGCTTACTACCGCAGCTATTGTATTGTTAACAGACACCAACGAACTAACATCTTTAATATTTATTTGTTTGTGTTGAACCCCGTATTGCTGATCGTAGTCTGTTGCAAGCACCTACATAATTTTTTTTGGCCTGCCGTGCTTACATATACATGTCTAACAAAAGATTAGGACTTTGATCGATTAGTCATACAATTATGTACATCCTATAATTTTATTGTTAGTTGGTAGGTACCTACTTAGTTACCTACTAGGTACCCAAATGATTATTCAAAATAATGACTATCAATTACCTAGGTATTACAATTCTAAGTAACCATGTTCCCCCAAAACTTCAGTTCAAAATGGTGTTTTTACATCAGAAATAATTTCCAAAAGGACTAAGGGATTCTAGTCTTCAAATTCGAAAATATTAGAATTCGATAATGAAGCGACCTTCTAAGATTATTTAGACACCACTGACAAACGGTGAAGGAAAAACATCGTGAGGAAACCTGGACTTATAATTTCTAATTATAAGTTTGAAATCACCAACCCGCATTGAGCAAGCGTGGTGATTAATGCTCTAACCTTCTCCGTGTGAGAAGAGGCTTTGCTCAGCAGTGGGCATTTATAGGCTGTTGATGGTGATGAATGAAGCGACCATCATCTTTATACAGATACTTCGCAATTCATCCTAGTTTTGTTTCGACATTTGAGTTGAATTGAATCCAATATGAGGGTTTCACGTATGATTGATGAACGAACGCGACTATCAATGATGTCGCAACTTCCGGGATTAACGTGCATTCCGAGTAAGTATCTATATTCGTACGTAGGCAAAAATGTTTGAAAGAATGGTGTCTTAGGTAGACTGAGTAGATCAGTACTTGGATTAATTCTATGCTTAGGTAGAATATTAAATTACTCTCATGTTCCACCTACTACTTCTCAGAATTCAGACAAACACGATATTAGGATGTGCTACTTAACTTCATGGTATAAAAATGTAGGTAGGTACTGAAATGTAATCGTAAATAAAAACAATTGCAAACTTTTTAGGTAAGTAGGTACCTAACTTTTTAAGGGAATCAAACACTAATAAATATGTACTTTCATGATAATCTAGGTAGGTATGTATGTACCATATTGTTCATGTCGGTTTAATCAATTACTTTCCTACCGTAACGCCATCTGTTATGGAATAATCGAACTAAAAGCTACAAATAAGTCTGAATCCATGATCTGTCTAAAACCATGATCTAAAAACATAATTAGATACTTATTATTTTTCTTCTAGTCTGTAGCTATACAAATATGTATATTTTTATTACAGATACAAAACACGATTTATTACACCTAAGATTTATTTCTCAAAACATTTAAGAAGGTAGGTAGGTATCCAGATACCCACCTACCTAGCTTACCTATGACTAATATCGTGCCGAGCGATATCGTACGTCCTAATCTTGGCTTAAGATAATATCTTCTGCATTAACAGCATGTCTTGGACTACGCAGTTCTTCGTCAGACTTCTTGGAATGCGTATGATTCTCTTCTATTTAGTTCGAGTAAGCTGTAATCTTATCAAGTAGGTACCTACCTACCTAGGTACAGCAAGGTCTCAGGTGTGTAATTTTAATGCAACATATATACCTAACATTTAAACACTATTCTGTTGCTTGCCTTTTCGGACAGGGAGAAAGCTGACCATGCAAAGTAAGCGGATATTACCTATGTTTCAAGTTTAAAATTTACGAATTCCTAATTATTTACTGTGTAAAGCATTTTAATATTTATGCTCCGTATTATTAATTTTTTTTATGGGATGAAGCAGACGGGCACACGGGTCGCCCCTAATGATAGGTAATCAATCGGCGCTGCCCTAGGAAACCCGCAGCACTTGAGAAGTTTCAAATGCGTTGCCAGCGTTTTGGTGGTCGGGACTTTAAAATAATTTTAATTTTGTTAAAAATATTTTGTCGGCGAAATGTGATTATGTTGGTACTTATATTTACGATACCTGCTACGTAATTTTGTATTTATGGTGCTAATCTAACAAGATTTTTAATGAAATTAGTAGTATTTAAAGTAGTGCCTGATACAATTGTCACTGCACGCTGTATTCAAACAATACGTGTAGCGGTGTCGTTTAGTTTATGTAGGCGACACGGTTTCACGTTACTTTGGTATTTCGCTGGAGTCATTCATGTATTGGCACTCAGAAGAATAACGGCTTTAAATCAGCGTGCGCATGCGGGGGGAAGGGGCGGGTAGGCGGGGTGTGGCTCGCTGTTTCAGCCGGCTTAGTTGATCGCTCGTAAAATTCAGTCTTGCTTGTGACATGAAAGGGCGCGATCCTTCACACGTAACACGGTGCTTCGAGCAATGCATCACCATGAACAAACGCCAGGGAATGCATGTAATGGTAAGTGTTTAGAAAATATCCTCTATTGTAATTGTTCTTATCGTTTTTCTCTTATACAAAAGTGATTTTTAATTTTTTGCAATATGTACTACCAATGTCTGCGGAGTTGTGTTTCACAATTCCCGGTACACGGGCACGGTACAGTTCTAATTGTTATTAAATTCCATTAAAACTGTTGCTATATTGGAGTTATGCATTATTTTGTCTTCATCATAAATTCCAAGTTTCATTCATTATTTAATTTATGGTCTAATTAATTATCTACTTAATTGCAAGCAAAATTTGATATGAAGTTTAATATTTTTAAATAGAATAAGTATGTTAGTGTATGTAAGTTATGGACAGATTATTCATTACCTACCGTTTATACCTTATTTATATTGCACTTCACCTAAATTATCATCGATATCGCAATTAACTCATATCTAGACATTTTAACTACAGGTAACTAAAGATAAAAAATTTCAATGTTAACGTGTACCAAAATGAGTTGATCATTCAGGTTTTAAAAAAGCAATATTGTCTACCATAACTTACGTACAGTACCTACGTTAATTTGTAGCAACGTTAACTAAACAATAACACCGTTTGATATTTAATTTTATACAATTGTATTCAGGAAAGTGAGTACCGAAATATTGCTGCGATGTGCCTACTTACATTATTATGTCCAGCGTGCTTATTGCATCATATACCGGGAAAATGTAAAGGATACTAGAATTTTCATTTAACTTTACCTGTAACTAAGCAATATTTTTTGTAACACAAAATCCTAAATAGAATATCTCTAGAATCTCTAGCATTTGGGATATTTTTTTCTTTTGATAATTCGTTGTAGCGAAGGTCACAAGGAAAGGTTCTCTCTGATCTCTGTGAAGGTCAAAGTCAACCACAAATTGATAATTTCCGTTAACGTAAGACTTAGTTGCTATCATTAGGTTGTTACTGAACATTTGCAGTTTGCAAGTTTAAACAAGCAATTACTTATATTGTTGTATTCCTCGTTTACCAAACCAAAATAAGTGTAGACACTGGACTTCAGGAAACCTGATTGTACTTGTGTAGTTCTAAATCTTAATAAAAGTAAAGTTATGCCATCCTGAAAAGATGCTGAATAATAAAAAAGCTTTATTAACAAATAGGTGTAAACTACTACAAGTAACGTACTTAATCTATAATAAAACTGTAGAAGTGAAGGCACTTTATTTACTAGCAGAAGCTAGTAAGTAACAATATAATTTATTCTTGAAATAAGCTACACACACATGAAATAAAATCTAAGCTCATTTCTAGAAATAGCAACGTGTTCATTGATTTAATGTTCAATAGTCATCAAGTTGCATTAAAATGACCTGACATGTATTTAGCGATCGTGGCACAATGTATTTGCACGCGACTGTTACATGGTAGAGTCACAAAGAGCAACTCAAATGGAGCCACATATTATTAGCTCTGAAAATAAATTGACGTCTGTCGTGTATCGACATTCTTATTATTATGGTCATTGCCCCAATTTATGCTGTTGTCATGGTCCTCGAGATGACATCCGTAAATTGTAAATGCGACTGTTTCTTTTATACATATGTATACACTCAGCCAAGTTATGTGATTTGCAGGTAAGGAAATGAAGTTTGATTCAGTCAGTACATACTTATTGTTATTCGGTACTGTATGTTTTTTTAAATGAAACTTTATCTTTTATAACCATTATTGGTCAGTTCTCTAGCAAATCAAAACTAACTATATAGTTACTGCATATATATATATATATATATCTTATTTCTTGTGTACGAAATTACTTGCTAGTCTGTTTCTATTCCTATTTTACTGCCTTAAGGATATTTTCGACGAAATGGGGTATTTAATGATCAATTACCCCAATTTGTGCTGTGAGTCCCTGAGATGCGATCCGATCCGTAAAATTATATATACTCGGCAGCGCTCATTTTATACATGCGATTAACAAAACGTGTGTACATACATGAAATTAAATCTTTTTGAAAACAAGCTTATATGCAGATTAGTATTTATTTATGGTTACACAATTTACTTATATAAAATTTCGATTGAAGATCAGTTTAAAATTGAGTATTACACACATACTAAATACATTGCAAGTAAAACAGAGCTTGTAAAAAAATAACAACATTAACTTTATCGACGTATATACCTATGTACTTAAACGTTAAGATACGAAATACATAAAATACGTATATAGTAACTCCTTATTAAAAACATTGAGGGTGCTTGTAATCAACGTTATTTTTAAGTAAATCAATAAAGAGTACTTTTAACAGTATTTTCCTCAAATGAAGCGGTTGCCAAGTTCTTCAATCTTTAAAATATCCTTACCAGATTGCTGGCAGTAAGTTTTTAAGTTTTTGAAGTTACGTTCGTGTTGTGTTTAAGTATTATTTTCCTAAAATAATGCGTAAAGTAAATAATTTTCATAAAATAAGCAATGTGCATACGCATAAATTAAAATTATACCTGCATCATGCATGACATAAACATTCTGACTATTTTTATTACCTCAGTATCAGTGATAAGATTACGTAAAGGAATATTTTTTTAAAGAATTCCTTGAATGACAAAAGCGCACCAAGAATGGAATTATTGAATTTACGCGGTAAAGGGTATTCCCATGAATTTTTTTTATCTTGATTTTAAAGATGGAAGAACGTGGTTAAGCTGAACGCTGTGTGCAACAGGCTCCGTTTGACATTGGCGTGACTTGATAAAATAAAATACTTTCAAACATTCCAGTTTCGAAAAAAAAAATGTACAAGTAGGTAATTTAGAACGGAACCTAGAGCCATCCTCCTGTTATATGAGAGTCATATCACAACCAACTAGTGTTACATGTAAAGTAAGTGTTACATGTACTGTATCTTATATATGCTAAGCCGAAAATAATAACTATAAATTTCAATTTCCAAACATTTTTGAGTTGAATTTCCGACACAGATCGATCGATTTTTAATTACGATTTAAACGTGACACAAAGTATTTTAAATAGTCATAGCTTTAATCAATAGATTTTAATAAGGTGTGACATTTCACTTTAAAATTTTCTTCTCATCAGATGGGATATATTATATGTTTGAAATAGTGCGGCACGTCTGTCGGTCACGTTACAATAACAACGAGCCAAATGGGCAACAACGCTAAATTAGTTTTATTTATTACTATTGTCATTTGTCAACACGCAAGGGATCGTACGAGGGAATAAGGATAGCTGATGCACCTGTCGCAATTCAATATATTCTATCAGTTTACTTGTATCGTAAAAAGTTGATTAAATTATTAAAAACAACTTATGATTAACAAAAGTAATTAAAACTATATCGTATATCTTGTTAATAAGACAAATAGTTCTGTAAAAATATGATACACTCAAAGCACAGCGTTGTAGTCGTTAATTATTACTCATTTGGCTAATCAATACGGAGATAAAATATTTATAAATTTTAATAATAATGTCTCCAGATTGATTTTGATTACGACGGCCAGACTCAATGATAAGCCAACTGCGTATGAGATTTTATAGTTCAAAAGTATGTACGTTAATACAGATGCACTAGCAATTGCCTTACGCTCATAATCTAATTAAATTGACTGCACGGTTGGTGCGGTGGCTGGGCAACCGGCTGCCGTGCAACGTGCCGCGGGTTCGATTCCCGCACGGGACAACACTTTGTGTGATCCACAAATTGTTGTTTCGGGTCTGGGTGTCTTTGTGTATGTGAACTTGTATGTTTGTAAACGCACCTACGACACAGGAGAAAATCCTAGTGTGGGGCAACGTTTTTCTAAACAAAAAAAAAAAAAACTGGGACATTTAGTCAGAATAAGATTAGTCAGACTGGGAGAAAATGCCTGCAGCATCATGTCCACCTATTGTACACTTTGTGCATGAAGCAATGTAAATAAATAATTACAAAGTAATATGACATACAGTAATACTAGTCAGGGCAGTGTTAATGACTTCATACCTTTTTCCAAATACGAGAGCACTGTTTAATTTTAGTAGTCGACATTTACTAATTTTCGTAAGGTAGCATTGTTTATTTAATTTATATCAAAAGGATATTAAGAACAGAACTTAATTTTGCGCAACAGAAACTTCGTTTCCCCTGTAAACGCTAATTTGTGACGAATTCAAGCAAACTTTTAAACAAAACTGACGTAGTAATTACGTAGGCAGTGCGTAGCGCGTTAGTAATCGACGCGTAGCGTGGCTACTCCTGCGTAGTCGATGCGTAGTGTGTCCGTAGTGTAGTTGATGCGTAGCTCACTCGTAGCCGTAGCGCGTCTTTGCGTAGCAAGGTAGCAACAGTAGAAGCGTAGCATATTTTGTAGCACGCGTAGTCAACGCGTAGTCAGCGTGTAGCTCACGCGTAACCGAGTTTTGAATATTTTAAATTTCCATTATTTGTCATTGTATTTTAGAACATATAGAAACTGGTGCCAACTTTTCATCTTGTGTAGATGCTGCATGGCGCTCGCATAATTTTCTTAATTATTCATAAAAGCGGTACAAACTCAGCAATACTTGGATCATTACAGCAATTAGGATTGCTCTAGTTAGGAGTCCTAACTTAATCAGTGGATTAGTAATACTTCTTTAACGGTTAGATCGCTATCGAATTGATATCTTACAATTTATCTTCACTAAAGTGTGCACTTTATAACATGTCAGTAAATTAGTGTTCAGTAATTAATTGGATTTTCATGTCGAAATTGTTGTTTGTTTATAAATAAAAAATAAAGTGGTCAAAATAGAATTTTAGACGTGTCTGGTAGAAATGTGTTTTTGCCATGCTTGCCTGCTGATTATTGAGTTCCAGTTTTTTCGATATTTACTTACTCCTTCGGAGCTTAATAGACATTTTCCTCTTCAAAACTGCATCATTTATCAATCACGGTCACTCGGCCACTGCGCATTCGATTAACTAAAGCACCGTGATTCATCGTATGAATTACTGTTTGACGTAGTA